AAGCCTGAAGGGAAGTGTGCGCCAAGATGATTGACAATGAAGCTCTTCCCGGACCCAGGGTTTCCAGTTATGAATAAGGCATATTTGAATGAAATACCGGTCATTTTTTTTTTGTGATTATTGGGGCAGCCGAGATTAAAGAACGGAAGGGATTGATATTTGAACTTGGATGGTATAGTTGTATATAAATAAAAAAAAAATAAAAAAAAAAAGGGAGACGACATGCACATACTCTTCTCTTTCAAATATTAACTTCGCCCTGATTGAATTGACTAACAATCAATAAAGCTTGCTTCGCCATATTATTCATTTAATATGCCTTTAAGAGCCCATGAACAATCCCAAAGTTTTATGCACAGTGTACCATTTGGGGCAAATATATTTTATTTTGCATGAATTGTACATACAACTTGACATACATCGTTGGCGAAGTAACAAAAATATATAATACATGTATATACACAACTTCGTTTGTTTGTCCATACAAAAAAAAAAGAAAGAAAGAAAGATAAAGTTCTAGGAGTGGACCATAACAAAACCAATTATGGCGAAGCTTTTTTTCTTCTTTTTTTATTATATAAAGTGTGAGGAATAAGAAAGCGCTCCGCCAACTTCTAATAAATAAAGAAAACCCCGATTTCAACGACAGTACAACAGATAAATGGGTATCAGCTATGCATTATTCATTACTGGTAATCCTGGTGTCGGCAAGAGCTACATCGCCAACAACCTAGGCGCAAGCTTCCTCTCGGGGTTCGCATTACATGGTGGAGGCGTGACGACAAACATCCAGAAAGAAGAAGTGACGATTAATGGGGAACATGTCCTCCTCGTGGATGCCCCTGGACTGGTGGAGGTCGACCTAGTGGCAACACGACGAAATGCGCAAATGATCTCTGAGGCATTGAGGATCGGACATAATATCCCTTGCAAACTTGCACTCATTGTTGCAGACCACAATGGAAGGATCCAGCAAGCTGATATGCTCCTGATAAGGAAGATTCATGAAGCATTGACCCCCAAGTTCGACATCCTGTTGATTGTAAATCAAGTCAAGCGACGGAATATACGGCACTACACATCCGATGAATGTCTTAACAGCTTAGTCAATACAATCAACTCCATTACAGGAACGAGCGTCGATAGAGAGCGGTTGGTGGTCATACCAGAGGATGAAGGTGGCTGGCCAAATATGGAGCCCATGAAACAAAAACTACAATGGATGTCAAAGAACACTGTGCGCAATGTCCAAAACATCACTGTTTCGAATGAAGAGTTCGCTTCTGTTGGAGAACAGATTCTTTTTTACACTTTTGCCGTTGTAGCAGCTCTCACCTCTCCGATTTGGGGGATCCCTTATCTCATCGTCAAAGCTTTTAAATAATTACCGAGATACGAATGGATCCTTAGCTATTAGGGTCACTGTTTTATTCCATTAGTATATGGATTCATTAAATAGTTTCAATAAAAAAAGGTAAGAATGTAAAGGATGGTAATCAAACCCCATTATAACACCTTTGAATTTGATGTCACCGCTATTATTGCTGCTAAAGAGGGTTGAAGGCGTTCTCGCAATGAAGAAGAGAAAACTCCACTCTTCATATTGATTTTCATTGGAGAGTAAAATTGCGATCATTAGGCCCACACGGTGATCAGGAACATCGTTTTCTGCTGTTGATGCACATCGGAACCTCTGATGAGGGAAGAATGGGGAAATGAGAATGAGCATTCATCTTCACATTGGGATGATTCTCATGTGATCTCGGGCCACAAAAATGGACCAAGTGTGAAGGATCCGAGAGCCAGGACTCCTTTCCTTCTGACGTGGTCCAGCAAGAAATTACGGCTGGGCATACGAATTGCGTATGTGGGGAAAACTCCAATGAATTGACAGCATTCTGTATCTTGCTCCTTCCCCTGGGCCATGACACACAGAAAAAAAAGAATGGTGTGTTTACTGCATAATGAACATGGGATGTCCAATTGGGTTTATTGTTGTTGGCGAAGCAATCATGAAAAGATTAAAGTTTCGAAACCTCACCCCTCAATGCATCTCCAACGAAGCAATTTTTCCAGTTGTTGAAATTTCACGTATTTGGCGCATCCAACCCCTCTGTTGTACTTGTTGTACTCTGTTCATCATTGGTAACCAATATCGCAGTTACCGAGAGTAAATACAGGGTTAATTGTGAGAAGGTCGGTTTCTTGTAAGGGGCGCAATTGTAGATCTATTATCTTTTTTAGAAGAAGCTTATGATGTGTCTGGGGCCACGAAGCTTGGGATATCAGCAGAGTTAGTAGTTGGAGTTCTTTACTTGGCCTGTCTGTCAGGGACTATAAATGACCACTTTTTTTATTTGGATAAACTTGGGCTGTATTCGAAGAATCGATTGATTATTGTTGGCGAAGTAAATCAGGGGTCATGTTCAACAGAGGGACGTCTGCACATGCAACTTTTTTTTGTTATTTTTTGTTTATTTTAGTTGAACAAAGGTTCCCTTACTACCTGGACTGAGCACAGCAGGACACAAAAATCAAAAAAAAAAAAAAAAAAAAAAAAAGAAATACACACGGTTGGCGGTTGTGAAATGTCTGAATATTTATATAAAACTACAAGGGTGTATAAAAATATCAAAATCCACCCCTCCTGATGTATTCCCAATGTCCCATTTATACAATCTCATTTTCGGCCAGCCGCAAGACCCTACCATCGAGTCGCTGAAACGCCACGTAGCAAGCCAACAGGGAGCATACAGTTATATTCTGCTCATTGCTGGCAACCCTGGAGTTGGGAAGAGTTTTATTGCTAATAGCCTTGGAGCAAATTTCATGTCCGACTTCTCGACAGACGGTGCTGGAATAACAAGAGTTTTACAATATGGTGACGTCTCGATTGACAATCAGCCGGTCCTTGTGCTTGATGTGCCAGGCCTGTTTGAGGGAACTCTGGCTACGACGAGGCGCAATGCAAAGGAAATCACCAAAGCATTACAAATTGGAAAGATCACTGAAATCCCTCTCAAGATCGGGATCGTTATAGAGGACAAAAATGGAAGAATTGACGAAAAGGATAGGCTCTTGATCGAGAAGATCCACAAAGCATTGTCACCCAGCCCCGAGTTCCTTTTGATTTTCAACCAGGTCAAGCAGCGCAACAAGGAGAAGTATACACTGTTGTATATAGAGAGAGTGGTGAATATATTCGGCGCTAACACTGGTGTTGGTGTCGATAAGGCTCGTACGATTGTTATCGAAGACTACAATAATGATGAGTCAGACATGGGGTCACTCATTGTCATGCTCAGGAGAGTCAATGCAATACGAGTGCAAAGTGTCACCGATATCACAGTTACCGAGAATGAATATAAGTCCTACTCAAAAGCTTTAATTGAACACTTTTCCGTGGCTGTGGCATATGGTTTGGCTATGGCCGGAACAAGAGCAGCACCAGCGAAGGCGGCAGCGTCAATAGTGCTGACAGCTTCTTATATGGTCTACAAGTCAATGAATCGCTAACCTTAAAAACTCCATGAGGTCAGCGCTCTCTATCACTGTCTTTTTATTTTTCTTGAAAATAAAATCGTCTGAGGTGACGGTATTTTCATCCATGAACAGTACATGATGTCGGCTTTTTTTTACTTTCTTTTTGCGCAAAAGAGGTAGCATATAAAGTACTGTGCATCAAAGTCTACTTCTTCAAGGGGTTTGAACCTTATAAATTCCTATATCCCTTCTTTCTCTTTTATCGCAGTTCATATTGTTTCCCATATTACCGAGTGGGATACCGCGTACATAATATATCTTAACAGCCATGCAGCCATGCAGAGCACTCTCAATTGTCTTCTGTTCATCACAGGCAATCCTGGATCTGGAAAGTAATTATAAATTTGGTTTCTAAGTGCGCGGCGGTGGAGTGACAGAAGTACAAGAGCAAATCGTAAATATTGACGGCCAAATAGTGCTCCTAGGCGATGCGCCGGGTCTGTCTGGCTGTAGCAGATTTGGAAGCAATGAAGCGCAGCGCAGGTAAGATTGCCAAAGCACTTCAAATTGGAATGAACAGGCATACCCCATTAAAGATTGGGGTCGTTGTGACAGATCGCAACGGAAGAATCCAGGATTCCGATATACTCCTGATTCAAAAGATCAACCAGGTATTGGCATGCAGATTTGAGATTTTTTTTTTTTTTTTTTTTTTTTTTTTTGATTGTCAACCAAACCAGAAAACGAAATATGCCATGCTATGCCACGCAGGAGTGTATAGGGAATTTAGCCACCAATATCCAAAGACATACTGAAGTTATTATCGAGACAGATCGTGTGAGGAGCAAGACGAAGAGGAACATCCTAAATGAGGGTGCTTAAGGATATGCTCGGAAGGGTTACGGAAAGAGAGGTACAAGATGCCAAAAGAATTGAAATCACAAAACAAGAATATGAGACTCTTGGGAGACATTTACACTGTAGCTACGCCCGCTGTACCCATATCTCCAATCTGGGGGCCGCCTTACTTGTTCTACAAACCCAATTTAATCTTTAGCCCTTCATTAAGCTGACCAATTCAAACTAAATCCCTGCTTTAACATGCAGTACATGAGGTACGTTCTTACAAGAACATCCGATGCAACATCGCTTTTGTTCTGGAGGATTTTGGGAATTCACCTCTGATACTTGGGGGTAAAGCGATCATATTATTCATTACTTTTTAAATACCTATTATACTCTGAATACATGCTGGTCTTTCTATCGCCACATATCGCAATTTTTTTATTTTTTTATTTTTTATTGATATTATTATTCACTTGAAGGTATCAATCGCAGCATGGATTGTTTTTTCGTCAGTTTCGAGCTCCTTATATGCATGGTCTTCAGGCTTGTCTGAATCAATCTCATTCTCTAACTCCGTTTCGACCTCTTCTTCAAGCCCCTTTACCACCTCTGCAAATTCCTCCTTGGCATCCTTGTTCACTGCAATGAGGACCAACTCCACATGTTGTACGTCTAAAAACTCGGTCGTATCCAAGGCTGTGTATCGAACATTATCCTTGCGAACACCTCTAAATTTCTCCTGCAAGTGTTTTGGTAATGTAGCTGCCCCTTGTCCCAACGATGCATAACGTGCTTGGCCACGCTCTGTAGCTGGAGACTTGATCTCTGGGTTCTTCACTTGTATAATGAAATGTCCTTCTTTCTGAAGCCCAAATGCCTCCTGGACTTCTAGGGGTTTCTCAGGGACCTCGAGCTCATACAAGAAATGAGACGTTCCATGATGCACGACAATATTAAATCGTGCCTCTCCAATCAATCGAGCAGGCTCCTGAGTTCGATCACCACGAGTCTTTGTTGAATACGAATAGCGTTCCAATCTCTTTTCAAGGTCATCCAAGTCAGATGAGGCCTCATCCACGAATGCCCAGACACGAGACTTGGGCCCTTTACCGGGGGAAGGAAAGGTCTTTTGTGGGATCACTAGCAATCGATGACAGGGCTTGCCCTCATGTGAAGGCTTTCTTGCTTCATCACCTTGTTCCAGCTTATCCTCTGGAGCAGGCCTACCAGCCGCATCATCTGGACTAAGTAGCAGGTAAAACTTTTGAACGTCCTGAGTCCCCGAAATGTCTTTGGTATCGACCTTGGGGCGGTAAAAAAAGAATGCATGACCCTTCTCAACTACAACCGACTCATCCTCATTTCCGTCCTTATCTGTACTATCATCCTTGGATTTGACATTTGTGTCCTTGGAGTCACTAGCGTCGCCATTTGTCGACTTGGACTTGTTATCGCTATCTCCCCCATCGTTTGAGTCCTTAGTGTTGCTATCTGAGTCCACTAAGAATTCATTTTTTAGAGAAGGACTTTTTTTCAACAATCATTGTTTTAATCTCTGTAGCACTAAAACCCACTTCACGATTGCAGCACTCCGATCTTTACCTTGACCATGACCATCCTTGTCTTCTAGTTTAGGTTTGTCTTGGGATTGTTGGTCATCCTCATTGGAGGATACGGTTGATGATGAAGTTGCTGTTGCTGATTTTTGTTCTTGATCGGTGGATTTTTTAGAGGCTTGCCGAGTACGCTTAGTGATTGGCTCATATTCGGGATCGGTTGGAGAGGCGTGTTTAGTACCAGCAGTAGCCTCAGAGTTCTTCTTTGAGGTAGCCATATCGTGTGAGGGTGCGTCGTGTGTGTAAAAGTAAGATGTTTAATGTGAGAAAGCAAGTGTGTGAATGTGTGAGTGCAACTGCGAGTGTAGGCGTGTGAATGTTCAAATATGAGTTTAGAGTGTGAAAAAAAGATATCAGACCAGTTTATTGCATGATATGGTTTGTATGGATTCGACTATATGACGTACAAATGGTTTCAGCGCGTTTGTATTATGATGAAGACATGAACTCATGGACAATTGGAACGTGAGAACGTGAGACTTTGTAAGTGCAGTTTTGTGGGATCACGTGATCAATTGATCATTGGCTGACTGGTACATTTGTTGATCTGTAAAGTTTTTAAAGTTTGTCCAGAAATTCAGGGACAACAGATTAGAAAGATTAGAAAGGTGACGGAAATAAACAGAACTTACAAAATTTTTTGTGGGTGTGCCGGCACCCAAATACTTGTGTCTAGCGTCGTGCGCGCTTTGCAGCAGGGGCGGGCGGCTTTTCCGAGGGTTTGTACTTTGTAGGTCTCTCTTGCCTCTCAATTTGAGCAAGACCGATTCTTACGATGAAACAAAAAAAAAAATACACTGCGATGCAAAATGTGTTTCTACATGTGCAGAAATCAAAGAGATGCTTCAGCTGTTTATTCAATAGCCTGGTGCATGTTCGTGTACACACAACTGACAGTGATTGACGAACAAAAAAGGAAAAAAATTCTCACTCCCATTCCATGCATGAGTATACCGCCAAATATTTTCGAAACTAAAAAAACCCGAGACGCAAGGAATGTGCAGGCAACAAAGAAGCACAACAACTGCTTGCTCATATACACTTTTTTTTCACCGTTGGTGTGCCTGTAGTCTTTTAAGCTTTCTGTCTGGCCGTTTAACACAAAGAACTTCAAGAAAAAAAAATACCCCGCATGATTGGTGCCAGGTCTGAAAACAACAATAATGCACATATCGTACATGGAAGATAGGGCCTTGACACTATGACTATTGTTATGTGGACTCATCGAAATCAACTTGTGATCACAACTGCTGCTCATGCTCTGTTGCCAAGGACTTGAAAAGAGATACAAACCCCTTCTTCATTGCTCTCATAATCGCTCACATCCTCTCAATACTTTCTTTCGCCGCCGTAAATGCCCATTACATCTGAATCACGGTTATCTTGTATCACTTGTTCAGCGCTTTGGTTGTATAGCTCGCAATCCACGACTCCAAGCCTAGGGTCCCTTATTGCCACTAGTTTTCTTCCAAGCTCAATGACAATAAACATGGTGATTATATCACCGCTTACGACTGCTGAAGGGAATTCTACAATAAGCGGTTAACAAGCAAAAATTTTTAACATGAACAGCTACAGCCCTTATCCTCCTTCATTGGAAAAATCCCGTTTGTTATCAAGTGCCATCTTGAGGAAGTTCAAGATGATTGTATATGGAGGGTACGCAAGTAGAGCAGTATAAAGCTTTTCAAGAGCACCATAGTGGATTGAAATACAATGATGCACAGGGAACCATGGTTGGAATGCCCTGATGCTAATACAAAAGGTTATGATGGGGAGTTTTTATAGTTCTATTGGGACGTATACATACTAGAAACTTGACTGTAATAAAATAAAATGCTACGCCACACACGTCGAGAAATGAAACGTCCCAAGCAGAATAGACAACCACAACTATGCCCGCAAAGGTAGCAGTGAAACGTAGTTCAATACAGTATCACTGCTTGACACTATGTTTGGGATCCCGGTATGTCTCGGCATCTCCTTGTCTATGAGTTATAATACTGACATGAATGTTTTTTGTCGGTATTGGCTACGTGTAGCAACGGTACTTAAATCGATGGCTCCATCGCTCTAATATTCGCATAGGAAATACAAGGAGGTATTGAGCCGAGAGCTCACGCTTATTTGGGTAAACAGGGATGCAGGCATCGAACGAGGCTGGAGCGAGAGGCTAGCTTCCATTGATGTAGGCAGGTCCGGCGAACTGACTGCGAAGCCATTTGTCAAAAAAAAAAAAAAAAAAAAAAAACATAAAACCTGCAAAGCTTCCCTACGTCGCGCTGTAATAAAGGGGTGAGAGACTCGCAACCCTCTCATTCTTAATGATTTATATGCCTTTTTGTTCTATTGTCCTACAGATTGATCAAAGTGTCCTGAAAGTCCAGAACACTCGATCGAACCTTAATTTTACCAGCAGCCTTGTACCACCAATTATCTTTCAAACCCATATAGTAGAATGAATTTTGCATCATCTTGTCGTTCAAAGACGCCATTTCAGCATATGCGCACTTATCCTTTCATCGGCACATTACATTAACATTTCTTTATGTATCAGTAACAGCGTACTCAATGGCGCCCATAGCGCCTCCTACAACGATGACAAGTGGAACCGGAATATTCAAGTATTCTGATGCCACAAATGCGGTCGCTACGATCACAGCATGATAGCTGTCACTACCTCCATCTGCTGTTGTTTGCACCCACAGAAGCCAAGCAGCCGAGAAGATAAAGCCGAGAGCGCAAGAGTTGACACCACGAAAGATCATCTTCACTGCCGGTCGCTCACGAAAGAATTGCCAGAATGGGATGATTGCATTCTTGAGGATCAAACCTGGGAAATAAATGGCAATATAAGAGATTATTGCTCCCAACAAAGTGTTCTTATTGACTCTGGCCATCGCAACCGCCCCTAAGAAGCAAGCAAAGTTGAAGTTGGGCCCTGGAAGCGACTGGATTACAGCAAGGCCGATCAGAAATTGTTGGTTGGTCAACCATCCTGCGTCCACTGTATAGGTCTTCAAGAGAGGGACAACTACATGACCACCACCAAAGATGATCGAGCCCACTACATAGAACGTTGATGCCAGCTGGCCATACCCTGTCTCTGTGGGAGAAATCAAGACCCGGACAAGAATAGCAGCGATGAGCAAAACAACAAATACCGCAAAACAAACAATTCCGGATAATCGAGAATACACATATCTCGCTTGTTGGTCACCGCTCTAATATAATCATAAAAAAAAAAAAAAATAAAAAAAAAGATGGTCAAGTTGCTTCAAGGAAACAATGGAAACGTAATACGCCTGCATTCTTACCTCTGACTGCATTGCTTGTTCACCTTTGAAGTTTGGTCGGCTATGAGGACTGGCGTCTACTTTAGTATTGAATTTCTGACTAGCTTTATCGCCTCTTTCAGCTTCATCTTCCAATATACTCTCTGTTGTTTCTAATTCATTTGCCGCATCTCCTTGCTCCAGATCCTTGGACTCTACTGATGCAACAGCTTTATGCGAAGTAGCAGCTTTTTTTGCTCTTCGTCTCGTGAGCACCGGTGTGATATAAGCATCGAAAACAAAGCTGGATATGCCACCCAGCACCATGATCAAAGGTAAGAGCCAAGGAGCAGAATAGAGAGCTGTTGTACTTCCAGCGATAAGGGCCAGGACCCTAGTCAACCTATCTGTCGTTAGAACAGTCGACATTCGATATGCTGCTAGGATCACCAGACCAATGGCTGCCGCCGACAGCCCTTGCCCCAGCCGAACTGCCCATATCGGGATGTCGCCTTTGATACCGCCAATCAGCACTCCTACTACAGTCATCACTATTGCACCAGGAATGCTATTTTTTTTTTTTTTTAAAAAAAAAAACAAAAAAAAAAAAAAAAAAAAAGTGAGAAAGTAAGAGAGAGAGAGAGAGGAAGAGAGAGCATTAAGGACCCATACCTACCTCCAGAGCAAGAAAGCAAAGATAGCACAAAGGACGCCGGACCTGATCAAGGCAAGGCTGTAAGCGATCTTGGCACTTGCAGGTCCAGGCAATGCTTGACTGATGGAAACTAGCTCAGCAAACTGTTCATTCGAGACCCATCGACGCTTTACAATGATTTCATCGTAGAGGATAGCGACATGGGCACTGGGGCCTCCGAAGGCGATATATCCGAATTTGACATAAGAAAAAAATGTTTCTTTAAGTCTTCTGCGTAGAGGCGGTGGTTGTAGTAACAGTGTTTTGGAATGGTTGGTATCTGAAGTTGGTGGGGAGGCTGACATTATTTTTATATCTTTCCGTGGCCTGGACCGAGACGCAGTAATGAGTAAGCGATCGTTTTCTTGTGTTTTGGATGATGTGAAGAAGAGGGCTAGTATTTTGAAAAAGAAAAGAAAAGAAAAAAAAAAAAAAAAAAAAAAAAAAAAAAGGACATGGCTCGTGTTATTGTTATTGCATTTCTTTTTTTTTTTTTTTTTTTTTTTTGGCTCATTTTGAGAATCGGCCGAAGGTTACACGAACCCGACCCCATGTTGCCATGTTGCTGATGATGACAACATACATCTCATTGTATATACGTATATATATATATTAACTGCATACAGATGCGTTTGAGGGAATGGTACTGCATATATGCATAACTCTATCTGTTGTGACATTGTTATTGATCGGGGCAGTTACTGTCAATTAAGACATAGTTAGTGTCCCTGATACGACTCATGATAGAACATTGTCGCACTGACTAGTCTCTATATATACTCGACCTGAACTCCATTACATCTTTTACCATCACCGTGTCTCTCGCTGAATTTGGTCTCTTCAAGATCTTTTTTTTTTTTTTTTTTTTTTTTTTTGAATTAGCTCGCCAACTTTTACAATGGCAGTCAGTAGGCGAGATAAAACGCACAACAAAGTGACAAATTGTTTTAATGGTGTATCTACTATCACAACTCCTATTCAATAAATGAAATAACTCTCCCTGTGTCGCGAATAATAAGAATAATAATCTGATAATAGAAATAAAAACTACATTTGACTAGTCTGCACAGGCTTCTCTCCCTCTTCTCCTAGAGGTCCTAGAGGGAAGGAATCTTCCATTATTTCTGCTCCTTTAGTTGGTCGTCCCTAAAAGCAGTCAACATTTAATGCAAAATAAATAAAAAAGTTGATAAGAAGGGCGACACCACCAATGCATGTCGTCCAATGGTCTTGCCTATACCGACGAATGTTCGACACAACCAAAAGATTAATTGGCTAGCCTCCCTTGTGGCCAATATTGCTCGTTGTCTATGGAATGCTTCGAGTTATTTTTCCCAGGGATATTTATTAAGCGTATAGATGTCGGCTTTTACTCAACTGTAGGTCATGCGTTGGATAACATGGATGGTCGATTTTGAGAAATTACGGAAATGCCAAGCCAATACCTTTCTTGTAAAGAGCAACCAATAGGCTAGACAGATATTGTCACGGGCCATCTCCCGGTTTCTTCGACTGATGTCTCTTGCTCTTTCTCCTTCTTCTCTGATCAACCTGGTCTCTATCCGTCTGGTTGATTTTATTGAGCCAAGCAGTATGTATCTACGTAGTTTATGTCATCTATGCTTTGTCCGGGAGAGGTTTATCCAACAGCAACAGCCTTTTACTTTTGCCAGCGACGCCGCTCATGCAGTTTATGAACGCCGTCTTTAATCCTTTAGTGGATGTGTGTGACGTAAGATTATTAACTGAGTGAGGCTTTTTTTTTGGGGAGGCGCACACAGCCCATTTTTTGGATTTCGACTCAGCCATTCAGATCAAAAACCTTATAAATAGCGTCTATTTCCATTTTCTTTTTTTACACAACAAAGCATTTTCACTCAAAACTTAAAATACCACGTTTCGATAAAACATATGCACTCACCTACTTTGCGATCAATCGCACTCGTCGGTGCGCTGGTGGCAGTTATCCATGCCAATACTGCTTTTGTCAACGCTGCACCTGACGATCTTCCTCCCCATCCTTCCCCTTCTTCCAAGTGCTATTGTCAGCCCACTGATCCATGCTGGCCCAACGATGCCACTTGGTCTGCTCTCAATACCGCTGTAGGTGGTCGATTGATCCCTACCAAGCCTGCTGCTTATGAGTGCCACGACCCTCATTATGACGCAGCCAAGTGCCAAGAGATCCAGAAAGGCTATCACTTTGACTACTGGAGACATAAACAACCGGGTGCAGTGGAGCAAACTAATTGGGAAGTTTTCAACTACCGCAGCTGTCGTGGATTCAACCAGACTGAACCTTGTTACCAAGGCGCTGTCCCTCTTTATTCCGTCAATGTCACCAATGTCCAGGATGTTCAGCATGCAGTTCGTTTTGCAGCCAAAAACAATATTCGCCTCGTCATCAAGAACACCGGGCATGATTACCTTGGGCGTAGTATTGGCGTTTCATCCCTTAATGTCTGGGTTCACCATTTGAAGAAAATCGCGTTGGATGATAATTTTGTGCCAGAGGGTGCGCCTCGTAGGACCCCAGGCCAGGGCGCTATCATCCTTGATCCCGGTGTGATCTGGCAGGAAGCCTATGCTGCCGCAAATGAGCATAATGTGACAGTCGTGGGCGGTGCTCATCCAACAGTTGGAACCAGTGGTGGTTACTGTCAGGGTGGAGGACATAGTCCCCTCTCTCCTCGTCACGGCCTCTGTGTCGACAATGTGTTGCAATACAAGGTCGTTACAGCAGATGGGCAACTCAGAGTCGCCAATGCTTACAAGAACAAGGACCTCTTCTGGGCGCTCCGCGGAGGCGGAGGATCTACCTTTGGTGTCATCGTCGAGGCAGTCTACAAGACTCATCCCGCAATTACAGAGTTCAGTTATGCCGGCTACCGCATCGGATTCAATGGAACTGAGGCTCGCCGCAAGGTCTATACCAGCTTCTTATCTCAGCAGCTTGCATGGGGCGCAGCCGGGTACTCAGGCTACTCCTACTTCCAACTCGAGGGTTTGATGTTCTACTACATGTTTCCAGGCGTAGGTTCTACAGTTGTCAACAGTACAATGTCCGCTTTCTTGAAGGAAATTGCTTCTATCCCGAACATCACTATTGAAGGAGAAGCCGTCTCTGCTGGATCCTTTTGGGAGGCTTTCGGGCCATTAGTAACCAACAATACCGAACCCACCTCTGGATCAAATACCATTTTGGGTTCGCGTCTAATCCCAAAGGCCAACTTTGAGGATGCTGCAGGCATTAGTCAGCTGGTGGATGTGATGATGGAGGCGCAGGATGACCTTGGTAAGCTCATGGGTCCTGCTGGAGCTACTGTTCTAGGTCATTTGGTTGCAGGAGGTCAAGTGAGTAAGGGTAACAGCCGAGAAACCTCAGTGCTTCCTGCGTGGCGCAAAGCATTGTTTCATGTGGTTGTAGCAGCGTTCTGGCCCGATACGGCTCACCCAGGGGCGCCTCAATATATGGGAGAAAAAATCACAGCAACGACTCAGCGGTTTAGAGATATCAGTCCTGGATCAGGAGCGTATTTCAATGAGGCAGATCCTAATGAGCCTGACTGGCAGGAAGCATTCTTTGGAAGCAACTATCCCCGCCTTAGGGCCATCAAGCGTAAATTGGACCCTCGAGGTGTTTTTGTCTGTCATAATTGCGTTGGCAGTGAGGACTGGAATAAGGAGCTCACTTGTCGTCTCTAAATAGTCAAAGAGTGTATACATTTTAGAAAATAAAAAATAGACAAGTCATCTCCATTGATCATTCCACGTGTATTCACGATTGCTTCTGCCAGCTTGTGTTCAGATCACAGATTCCATTTTTGGGTACAAAACATTCAAAGGAAAAATAGAGGAGTCATTTTCTCTAGGATCCTAGAATGATGAAAGATAAGAGATATTTAGGCCAAGAAGGAACGCGTACCATATATACTGCCTCTATCTGTTCTTAACATCATCAAAGATTCTTTTTTTTTTTTTTTTAGGATACTCAGGACAGCTTGCGCCAACAAGGAAAACGTAAAAATAAAAGAGCAGGCACCAACAACCTGCAAATCGAAGCAAGAAGGTTTACTATCAACGTTTGGGGACCCTTTTTTTTTTATTTTTTTTATTCTCAGTTCCCGTCTTTCTTATCGCGATCACTATGCATCGAAGTGAATAAAAAAAAATTAAAATGTCAAAAAAAGACTCATCATTAATTATGGTATGGATGTAATACGTTAATGATAATGAAATGCTCAAATTTCTAATAAAGAACTAGACCCTGAAGGATTCTACATGGCACATGCGCAGTACATTTCCGCCCTTTTCCCTCTCTCACTTTTTCTCTATTCTCAAACAAAGATGTTGAATGCCAGTATTATTTCTTGAGATTAAAACCATTTACCTCAGTTCCACACATATAATAAAAACAAGTTTCAAGAGCTATACACGATCAAAGACTTGCGATCATTTCTTATCGACTTGCGACTGACTGATTGTTAAAAAAAAAAAAAAAAAAAAAAAAGTATCGCATTGTTTTCCTTATTGTCGTGCACATGAGATTGTGTACATTCGGTTATCTGTCAGTTTTCAAAATCGTAATCAGATTCATCAGCTATTGTTCGGATTGTGTTTCTGTGGATCTGAATGTATGCGCATAAGACACCTTGAGGAGACACCATACATTTACCTGTGTGTTTTTTTTTTTTTCCTTTTGTCTCCGGTCTCGAACCATGAAGGCATTTGTACAAAATAGCCGCGTGATGGGAGCAGTGAAGAGATGAAGCGTTCCTTTGTCTATAACCCGTTGGGGAGCTCCGTGCACTTTACGTCTCACTGGTTATCTTGCATGCAACGGTAAAGCATAAACAAAAAAAAAAAAAAAGGATCAATAATAAGCAGTTATAGAAGGACGACGTTGAGTTGAGATATAATCACGATAAGAAAAAGAAGTAAGGGAAAGTGGTCTTTATTTACACAAGCGTGGGTGGATCCCAAGCTTTGTGCAACATCCATGTCCACCCCTAGCCTTGTCTGTAATCTAAGAAAGTACAAACCCTCGGACTACAGTCATGAGATGAAGCATTGTGGATATATTTATACAATATATAAATATAAATATATATATTAATATGTAGACATTTGTACTGTCAACGAAAGCATTATTTTATAAAATAAAGAAAATGATTATGATCGTGATGGACTATCCATCGTTTTGTTTTGTGATTTATCATCAAACCTGTTCAAGGGAGTTTTACCCAAGTCTTTTTTTTTTTCACCTGGAGGTTACTCCCAAGAGTTTGAGAGCATTTGTAAGATTTCTTATCATCAAAATCAAAGAGATACTCTGTGTCTCGAGAGCTGTTTGGTCCTTTTTTTTTATCTTTATTATTTGTTAATAACAAAAAAAGAGAGGAAAGGAAGTGATTCCGGACCCTTAGAGATCCTGTAGCTCGAATGAGCTTGTTCGGTAATGAAGCTGAGATCGATGAAAGAGAGAGGAATAGGTGATGAGAGCCGATTTTCCCTTGAAAGGGTTTTGAAATGTGAAAAAAATAAGAGCACTTGAACAAACATGTGCAGGGAGAACCCCATAGATGAAGGACGTTATACAAATCAAGAAGAGAGATGAGAGAGCAACCGACTTTTTACAACACGACAAGGTTCTGTTTGCACACAGAGCAGGAGTGGTATTGGTGGATGAGTTAGGGTCTACAGTGGGTTGGGACATCTTTTGCATGGACACAAATATGGTCTAGCAAACAAACATGGATATTCAAAATGGCCACCTCGACTGATTGCACTACCAACTGTCTTTAATCCAGCCAATGAGCGTATCCGTTTCCCTGTTTGGATCCTAAAATCAAGATTGTGCATCTCCACAAACAAAAGAAAATGCGCGCCAAAGAAAAATAAATAAAATCAATATTGGGAACCTGTTTAATGGATTAATGGAACGAAGGAGGCGTTGCACAATCAATGAAAAAAGAATAGTCATTTATTCTCTTAGTTATTTTAAAACAATGAGCCGTTTACTCGACTATATTTTAGATCTTTTCTGATTGAAAAAAAAAAAAAAGAAAAAAAAAAATCCATGTCTACAACAATAGTTGTTCTAAGGAAGAGATGTCCTTCCTTTTGACCTCGCTTTGGGTAAAGAAAAGAGGATCCTCAGATGTAAGAATAATGTGTAGATACAGATGCAAGAGTCGCTCTCTTTGTCAACAACCAACAGCAACAATCTATCCATATCCTGTTGTCCTACATCCATTTATCGTTCATCCTCCATCCTCCATCACCCATCACCCATCGCATCCCTTTTTTGTTTGTTGACCTGCAAACACAAAATGTAGAAATAAGGTTGGGCAGACAGAACATGCAAGCCAGGTCGGTTACATACATGATAAGATGTCATTCGATCATCCCTTGCTTTATCTTCCCTGACGCCAATCCAAATTAACCTTGTCTTTTTATATTCTATCGTGCCTTTACTTTCATTCATCCTGATCTTTCTGCTCACTAAACTTTCACAGGGATCGCTTGCGCCAACTGATATTATTATACCTTATACCTAGAATCATAATCCAAGAACTTGTATAAATACCACCTTCCTCCTCTTTTTCTGTTCCTTGTCTTCTGCACCTCGTCTTCTCCAAGTCTCCCTTGCCTAACGGATCTAATCCTCTTCTTCCTACCGCCTCTACCCTTACCCGTCCTCCTACGCCCACTCCTCCTACGCCCACTCCTACTTCTCCCTCTTCATCTTAATCTCCTTGCTTCGGGCACGAGATCTCCTCACTAACGTCTAAAAACCTCACACGCGTACAAACAAGAAATGAGAGCTACCATTTTGTCTTTGGCCAGTGTGGCCTTCCTTATTGCATCCGTCTCCTCTGCACCTATCGAGAAGCGCGCTGCTGCCGACAAGCTCGTTGTCGGATACTGGGTTCCATGGGGTGATGTTCCAGTCTCGGCTGTTGACTTCTCCAAGTACACTCACATCAACTAGTAAGTCCTGATCGAATGTTTTTCTATATTCTACGCTTTTAATGCCTGTCCGTCTATCTGTCCAACCGCATACTCTATGAACAATAAAATAGAGTGGATTGGAAAAGTAGAACTTGCTAACCTCCAAGGATATTTTTCTAATGCTTGTAAAAAAAAAAATAAAAAAAAAAACAGCGGTTTTGGTGTGATGAAAAAGAGTGCCCCCAGCCCTGCAGATATTGTGTTTGATCGTTACTACGATGGTACTCCCATGAGGGAGTTGGTCAAGAGGGCAGCTCCTTACAAGGTCCCCATCTTGATGTCAATTGGTGGCTGGACCGGTTCCGAGACCTTCTCCATCGTGGCCGCAGATGCTGCTCTGCGCAAGACTTGGATCAACAACGCCTTGGTCTTCGTCCGCAAGAACACCCTTGGCGACAGTGCAGAGAAGCCCAACGGATGGGACATGGATGGTATTGATATCGATTGGTAAGTCTTTTTTTTTATTTTTATTTTTATTTTTTTTATAATATATATCAGGATGTGTATCCTTTATGTGTATTGATTACTATGAAAGAAGGGAATAGCTAACTTGTCTGTTGCATTTACTTGTGCTATGAAATTCTGATAGGGAGTACCCTGGACGCGCTGGTGCCCCATGCAACACCTACACTCCTCAGGACTCTGCCAATTACCTCCTCTTGTTGAAGGAGCTCCGTGCTGCTTTGGATGCAGAGTTCCCCACCAACCGTAAGCTCGTCACCGCTGCTGTCCGTGTTCAGCCTTTCGATGGCACTAGCGGCAGACCTATGAGCGATGTTTCTGCCTTTGTTCCTTACTTTGACTGGCTCTCCATCATGGCTTATGATATCCATGGATCATGGAGCAGAACTACTGGACCAAACGCTCCTTTCGGCACTCCCTCAGCTCCAGGTGAACCCTTCGGAGTCATCCAATCCGTTACTTCATGGAGGTCTGCTGGATGGCCTTCTGACAAGTTGGTTGTCGGTACTGCTTTCTACGGTACTGCCCTCACCGCCACTGTTGATATGAACACTCAGAACCCCATTACCCAGTATGTCCCCCACACCGGATCCGCTGCTCTTGTGAAGCGTGCTGCCAGCAACGTGACCACTACCGCCGCCTGCGGTGTCAAGGAGATCATTGCTGAGCCCACCGGCACCTGGAGATGGAAGGACATCCGTGCCAACATCTTGACTGGAGGACCCACCACCCCTGCTGCTGGCTGGAAGCGTTACTGGGATCCTGAATCCCAGACCCCATGGGCATTCCGTGCCTCGGACAAGAAGTTTGTTTCATATGATGATATTCAATCGATCACTGTCAAGGTCAACTATGTGAAGCAGCAGAACTTGCGTGGTGTGATGTTCTGGGAGATGTCGCACGATTACAACGACGAATTGTTGAATGCTTTGAACACTGTTCATGGTGGACCTTCGCCTACTACCACCACCACTTCTGCCTCCACCACTACCACTACAGTTAGCACCCGTGTTTCGACCACGACCACGGCTGTGACCACAACTACTCCAGGACCTGGTGTCTGCAGCGGTGTCCCTGCCTGGAACAGCGCCACTGTCTATGCTACCCCTGGAACCAAGGTCACATACAATGGTCATCTCTGGACCAACCAGTGGTGGACTCAGGGCGAGGCTCCTAGCGGCTCTTCTTGGGGAGTCTGGAAGGACAACGGTGCCTGCTAAAAAAGAAAGAGAAGAAAAAAAAAAAAAAAAAAAAAAAAAAAGGAGAGGATTAAGTGTTGATCACTTTAGCAGTATCTCCATTACAAAATAACGAAAACAGGACAAAAAAAAAAAAAAAAAAAAAAAAGAAAAGACTTGTTGATCAAGCAATAACAAATAACCAAAGAGTGCAGGTTCACTCATTTAACGTATTATCAATACATTCTATTTTCCACCTTCCCTATCCCACATCAATTTTTTTTTTCTTCAAGTAGTTCATTGTAGTCAATGTCCCCCCACTTTAGGATGACGAATACTTCATTTATTCTCTCTCAGCTATTTTAGTTTCTCCTACGATGAATGAATAAAATGAAAAAGAAAATACTAAAGTAATGTAATAAATCAATATGATATGAGCAGATCTTTGAGCAAATGCTCTATTGAACGCGCCTAAACATATTCAGAAAGGACGAAATAGCTTATTTCCATCTTTTGTAGCAAAGTCACTCCAGGCGCTTCAAGGACAAGGAGGGCTCCAATTCTTTCAATGGATACAGCAAAAGTGAATCAATAGCCCTGAAGGGGGTACTGACCCCACAGGGGCAAGATCATCGTGTCTATTGTGCTTCTAATCAATAACACATCAGTATCAAGGGAACAGACAAACAGAATTTTATAAACATTATGATTTAGTCCTGAGTATAGATGAAATAAAGGGATGAATTAGTGGGTGAGGTGAATCAGAATGATGAATGATGCACAAGGCAAATAATTGGTTCTAAACAGTTAAAGGCACATTTGAACATGGACCAGAGTGGTGAGTGGCTTGATGCTACAGAACCACACGCTTATTATTCGCTTATTATTACAATGGGTCATTTCTTTTTTTTACAATTTCACCATCAACAAAGTCCATTCTGATGGCACCACCTAATTAACAACACGCGTATTCCCCAACAGCGCCCCCTAATCCAATTACGAGCTGTTACTGTCATATCCCGTATCTTTATTAACATTGAAACCACCTTTTATCTCGAGGAAAAACAAAAAAAAAAAAAAAAAAAAAAGCCAGAAAAGGACGCTGCTATGCCCCAAAAAAAGAGCTCCATTCTTAACAGTAATATCTCAGGACATGCTGAACGAAGAGTAGCTGAAGAAGGGATCGATACCCACACTCATCTTCGCACTGGCATCGAAACGAGCTTGCGTCAGTTCAGGTGCAGGAGGCTTGTGAAAAGACCTGAAGACTGTGATTTCTATATCCAGCTTCAAGGTAGAGTAATTCCTCAAGTGCGTGAGGATGAAGAACCATTGATGGAGATTGCAAAAAAGTTTTTGAGTAGTAACAAGAAGGTGATGCTTGTTCAAGGTTACCCGGGAACTGGAAAGTCAATGTTCTGTCGCACATTGGAGCGTTATCTGTGGGATAAATATGAAGAGAACCATAGGCGAGTCCCTCTTTTCATCAGCCTGCCAGCAATTAACAATCCCCAGGTTGACCTCGTTGTGAAGCACCTGCAGGAAGAGGCCTTTACTGAGGCACAGATCAGAGAACTGAAAAAGAGCCACAGCTTCATTCTCATCTGTGATGGTTATGATGAAAGCATGCGAGCCAACAATCTTTATATGACTAACCGTCTCAATCAGTCTGGAGAATGGCGTGCACAGATGGTGATCAGCTGTAACAGCGACAGCCTTGGACCAAACTATCAAGATTGCTTTCAACCTACACGTCATAATCTCCGGAAAAGCCAATCTTTGTTTTTGGACGTTGTTATAGCGCCGCTCTGTGAGATGCACGTGCACGAAGCCTGCGAGCAGTATATGGAAGCTATGGGCACAGCATGGGATGCTGAAGACTACAGCCGAGCTTTTCGTTTGATCCCAGATTATGATGAACTCAAGAGGAACCCCTTTCTGCTGTCAATGTCGTTGCAGGTGCTTCCACAGATGATGGGCCCTGGTCAGAGCTCAACCCCAGAAATCAAACGCATCTCGATCTATGATCAGTTCATCCAACTGTGGTATGAGAAGAAATTGAAAGATGTTTTGGAACTGGAAGACAAGAGAACATTAGAACTATTGTCGGATGGAAAGTTTGCACAGAAGGGGATTAAATATATAGTATCGTTAGCAACAGCAATCTATAGACACCAAGGAAATAATGCAGTAGTGGAATATTCGCCCCTCCAGCATAAGGAAACATGGAAAGAAGCGTTCTTTGGCAGAGACAATGGAGACCAACTGTTACTCAAGGCATCGCCCCTGGCCCACATTGGCAATCAATACCGGTTTATACATCACTCACTGCTGGAGTACTGTTTGGTGCGTGCAATATTTGAGCCACAGGATGCAAGAAATGTAGGCATCCTTAAAGACCATGATGACGATGTATACAAGGGTTATGCGCTTACAGGAGCATCTGATGCGCCATCACTTCTGATCTGGAGGGGCATTGTGAATGAACCCTCGGTCGCCCAGTTCCTAGCAGAGCGAGCTTTACTAGAACCTATTTTCAAAGAGCAGCTTCTTGCGTATGTTGAGCACTCGAAGAGCAACAGCAAGTGGAGGATTGCAGCAGCGAACGCCATGACGATCTTGGTGCGAGCAGGAGTGTCATTCAGCGGAGCTGATTTACGTGGAATTCAGATCCCTGGAGCGGATGTGAGGCATGGCAACTTTGATTCTGCTCAACTACAAGGAGCAGACTTGAGAAAGGTCAAGATGCGCAGTTGCTGGCTTCGTGAAGCTGACCTGAGTGGTGCACGAATGAAAGGGGTACAGTTTGGTGAATGGATGTATAACCTATTGAATTCACATATGATTGACGGCGCATACTCACCCTGCGGAAAGACGTTGGCAGTATGCACTACCAACATACTATGTGTTTATGACACATCAACATGGGACCAGCTTTGGACATATGGTGGCGATTTCTATACCTTCAATCCTTATTCACCAGACGGTCGATACCTCGCTTTTGTCTCTGCCAGGACTGAAATACATATATGTGAAGCAAAGTCAGGAAAGCACACTCTAAGCTTGATAGGGCACGAGAACGAGATCCGATTTCTAGTGTACTCACCGGATGGATATCAAATCGCCTCTGTTGGACAAGATTACACAACAGTGCGTGTGTGGAGTACTTTTTCAGGATCACTTTTGTATGCTTTGGAAAACAATGGAATGCCTATGGCCTATTTAGAATACTCTCCTGACGGACATCAACTTGCTTCATCAGCCCCTGATAACGTGACTCAGTTATGGGATCTAGAAACAGGACAACTGCAGCTTGTACTAGAAAGTCATAAGAGCCACACTGGCCGGACTGTATATTCATTGGACGGCCGAGAAATATATTCCCATACTGATGATAATACTATATGTATGTGGGACACAAAGTCAGGCCAGCTTAAGCGGACTATTGAACTTGAGATTTGTTGCAAAGGCGTCAAATTCTCCCCTGATCGGAGGCTCATAGCTTTGTGGTATAAGTATGATGTAGACGTGCGTGGCACACAAGCAAACAACCTCATCTGCATCCTTTCAGGACATATTGGTCTAATCGAGGAGGTGGCGTTCCAACCCAATGGTCATCAGCTTGCTACATGCGCCGCTGACATGACTATACGGCTCTGGAACATCAGAACGGGGGAAGTCAACAATATTTTGTATGGACATATGCGCCCTATTAACTGCATACGATTCTCGCCAAGCGGACATCAGTTGGCAACTTGTAGCGACGACTATACGCTACGTGTGTGGGATGCACGACAGCCGCCATTCTTTCATGCTATACCTGGTCATGAATGTGTTATTAACTGTGTGGTTAGTTCACCTGATGGAACGCGGATAGCTTCTGGCAGCAATGACTGTACAATACGTCTCTGGGACGCGCAAACCGGGGTAACGCTCCAGACACTTAATACCCATATGGCTGAAGTAACTAACGTCAGATATTCGCCAACTGGTCATCTACTTGCGTCTCGTGATAGAGCCAACATTCTATGTCTTTGGGACACTACATCAGGCCAACTCACCCACACCCTGAGGCGGAATAAGGTGGATGATGCCTCAACTATTAGCGACATAAATGACGATACCGATAGTACAGGCAGTGATGCCCAGAGTATAGACGGTGATTTCAATGATATGGACAGTAGGGCTAGTGACTCTGACGATTTGAACGACAGTGTTGTTGGTATGGACGAGGAATCTGATGGTATGGACGAGGAATCTGATGGCATGGACGACGATATTGATGAAGTAGGCAGCGATATTAATGAGACGGAAGATAGCACTGATGGTACGGACGACAGTATTGATGATATGTACGATGATAATATGGATAGTTATATTGGTGTCAAAGATCGCAACATCAGCGATATAGCATTTTCGCCTACCGGCCACCAAATCGCATCCGGCCATAAAAACGGAGATGTTTGTATATGGGACACACAAACAGGACAACTCATTCGCACATTAAAAGGCGGGACTGGATTCGCATCAAACGTGGCATTTTCACCTGATGGTCAACAGATCGCTTCATTATCAGGAAAGCACAAGATCATGGTGTGGTCAACAGAGACAGTTGGAGAGCCCCTTCATACTATTGCATTTAAAGGATATATCAGAAACCTAATATATCTTGCTAATGGTCATCAAATCGTAACTCTTTGTGACCTGGATGGTTGCGGCTTGTATCTGATCGACACTAAAGTTGGCAAAGCCCGGCAAGTGATAAAATCGAGAGAATCTATTCGGACATTAGTGGCTTCGCCATGTGGCCGTCGAGTCGTCTGTGGATATAATAACCGAACATTGGCCATAGTGGATATGGAAGCAGAGGTAGACGGAGAAGGGAACGCTAGCGCTACGATAGGGAGAGTAATACATAGACTTGAGGGCCTCCCAAACTGCCCTTGCTTCCTGAAATATTCACCCGATGGTCGCTTTTTTGCCTCTGGGACGCGTTATAGTGTGTATGTATGGGATGCAGAATCAGGCAAACGCGTAGCTGTGATTACGAACGATTGTTTACGGGATTCAATCATTAATGATCTTGCCTGGGTCGGTTCTTCTGCTATTTCTGACGCTGAAGCGGAAGAGACCGGGTTATTACTGGCGGCAGCTGGTGGAGATGGCTCCGTTAGGATGTGGCAGGTTTTTCAGGAAAAGGACAGACATAATAAAGTCGACGATGATGATGATGATGATGATGACGAGGACCAAGAGGGCAACCATCGATATCAGTTGAAGTGGTCCTCGAAGCAGGTTGTTCTGAATGCGAGAGGCACATATATTGAAGGGGTGATTGGGTTATGCGATGCGAACAGAACACTATTAGAGCAGCGTGGGGCAGTTGGCACACCAAGCCTTTAGCGCTGCTAGCTTTTCTGACTGATTCATCACCACAATGGATTTCGAAAATGTCGATAGTGAGGGTCATTGGATTGAAGGGAGATTGTCTGTTCTTCATATTAATTTGAAGCGATGTGGTTGTTTTCTCGTAGTTTTGTTGTTTAGTTGCATCCTTCATCGTAGTTAACAGCATATTAAATAACTTTATTTAATAAAATGACTTTTACGCTGTCAGGTTGAGAAACATCGTTTATATGTTCGTCTGAAAGATTTGCTGATTTTTTTTTTATTTTATTTTATTTTTTTATTAAACCTTTTTTAACCTACCGGAATAAATTATGAATTAGACTTCAAAAAAAAAAAAAAAAAAAAAAAAACTTAGGGATAAAGCGCGTGAACTACTTCTTCTTCCTCCTGGAACGAAGCTACCACTTTATCGAATAGCAAAATGAATAATAAGAGAAGTAGGTATTAAGACAATTTCTTCAATTCGGTTTACCACAGCCACATTGTTAACTATTCATTTTTTTCACTTTTCACCTTTGGTAAAACATCCTAAACCAGAATTCATTATGGCCCTGAATAAATGACAAAATGAGTTGTCGCTTTTGGTTGAACTAAATCACTAAATCAAATCAATCAACAATTACCAACTAACTGCCCTCATGAGCATCCCATTATTCACTTTATCATTCAAATAAGTATAAACGCTATAAGGCTATGACAATCTTTTAGTGAGCCTTTGATCCACTTTAGATTAAAGACGTATAAATTATAAATTGTAAAAAAAAAAAAAAAAGAAAGAATTGCCGGATTCTTCGCCTGCCTGCATATCTGCAAACAGCCCAGAGCGCACTACGAGGAGGAGGTGGCCTGGTTCTTGCACGCTCTACCGGGCCCACCAGTCTCTAGAGTTATTCGGTTGGGTATGATCATCTCATCATCGAGTTCTCAATACCGCCCTCGGAACTGTCTGGACTTTTGAGCAAACAACCCAAGGATCACATTGAGAACAGTATTGTAATAGGTAGTGAAGACAAAAGGTGATCTTTATTAAATTATTATTACAAGCCTTTTATAGGCTTAAGACTATATACTGTGACAAGTATGCAATCCACTATCCATTAGTACGTCCATATACACTACGACAATGCCCAAGGAGGCGCGGCTTGCCTTCTTTATCTCTGGCATCCCCTCCCCCCTTTGCCCTCAACATGACGAATTCGGGATAATTATTTCTTCGCGTCCTCCTTTAAAATTTTACCCTCAGGCTAAAGTCTGTTAAAAGCATAGAGAGCAGGCTTGAAGATCCATTTCTCCAACAGCATGCTAACCAACATCACTGGTCTCGCTTTGAACCCGAGGAACTGAGGGTATATAGCGGCGTGTTTCCCATATGTAATCTCAGCGTCAAGGCTTGATCGTGTCTGCCGCTCTAGGTTGTTATAGTCGCCTTTGTCGCCATTCTTTCTAACCCAAATGTGCGATCGGCCATGAGGGTTGAAGAATAGATTATGCGGCTCCACGCGAACTCTGCCGCTTGTAAGCGCGGCCGTCTTTGGCACCAAGACATTCCACCTCGTCGTCCCAATCATTACTCGGCTGCCTCCTAGCGAGGACACATTGATGGCCTTGAAGTATCAGGCCCTCAGAGCCACATCCGCATCGGTTTGAACGGCCAAACACCTCCACCTTAGGGCATATATGTACCCTCCAACCGGACTGGGTAAGACAACCCTGCAGTCCTCTCGCCCCCAGCTCGCTAGCAGAGAACGGCGCGTACCAAAAGGCGTCATGGCATCCAGCCAGCTCGTGCTCTTGAAAGTCTACAAGCTGGCCGTACCAGATCTACCTGTCCCTCGTCCTGTTGGTTTTTCAAGGGGAGCAACAAGGCTACCCTCTCTTCCTCGCCCAGCAGGTACTGAAAAGTTCTGAGTGATAATGTGTGTGTTATTGTAACGAGGGTGAGCAAGTGGAGGAAAAGGGTAAGGGATGAAGTATAATCGCTCTGCTGGAGGCATAAGAGAGGATGAGGATAAGGATGAGGATACGGATGAGGATAAGGGTGAGGATAAGGACCCTAGTATGGCGTACTAATAGCGCACCAAGGTATTTTTGTATTAGGGTACACTATGTCGCTACTGGTAGACTAATGGCACGTTGCCTCAGTCAAGTCTGCTGGCGGAGAAAAAAAGGAGGGGGGCTTTGGCGCGCCGGTGAAAACCGCTGCCCACTTGACATCATTGTGATGATGTTGATGTTGATGTCGATGATATTGGTGACGATGATATTGGTAATTGATGATTGATGATTGATGATGTTGATATTGTTGATTCTGATGACGCTGATATTGATGATTTGATGATATTGCTGTGGATGTTGCTGCTGGTATTGATGTTGGTGTTGATGCTGATGAGGAGGAGGAGATGAAAAAGATATCCCAAGGTAGAGTAGTTGCAACCGTTAGGAAACGTCTGCGGTGCTGCTCCACTAGGGAATGGTTGAAAGTTAGTCGCTTCCAACCGTTCGACCGCTTCTATGCTTCTGCTGAAGCACTGGGTTTGGCCAAAAGCCTTGAGTGATGTGACTACCAAAATGCCTGTGCAGGCTCTCCATCGACCATCGGGGACGAGGGCATTAGTGCGCCAGGCCTTGGACTTGTCAGGAACAGTGGTAAAGCTTAACCACGGTTCAAGAAGGGGCGACTGTCGGGTTAAAGTGGGAGTGTGCCCATCCATAGATGAGTCGACTACAAAAAGCCTAAAAGTACAAATACCAAACATCACATTAGTGGTTATCTTGGATTTAAACCCGCGTCATCTTCAGTAAGAAACGTCAGCAGTCTTACCATCATAAGCATCCACAAACTTTTTGGCAAGGGCTCAGAAAAAGATGTTCAATATCTTTCCATGAAGCTTTTGACAGCTTGTGTCGACTCAGACCAGATGGCAAGGGTGTATGAAGGAAGAGGATGAGGCAAAAGTAAGAAGGGATAAGACTAGTCTAGAAAATAGGAAGAGTCTTTAATTTTATTTATTTATTTATTTTTCCACTACTTCATTTGACGTATTTGGTCACGCACTGAGGCTTGTTGGATACAAAGCGCTCTACCACCAACTCAGCTCGCAACTGAGGCATGCAATGCTATGTTATTGGATGTTTGTTTATTTAATTTTTTTATTATTTATCTTTTGCTAAACGCATTCACGTTGGGGCCAAAGGTACCATCGCTACCAAGAATGCTGTATTGGATCCCATTATTTTCAACTCGAAATCCATAAGTACAGCCCCTATCAATGCCTCAAACGCATCTGTCAAGGCCTTGGGGGCTTTCAAGTTGCCCGGCCATTTCCCGCCATTCGATGCACTCTTTGTGTTGACTGTTGCCGTCTTTTGCTCAAAAGCGGCTCTATTAGTCGATGGATGCCTCGGGTGCTTACCAAACCCAAGTTGGTAAAGATCATGACAAAGGGGGCATTTGAGGCATTGTATTGGGCCTTCAGGGCTGTCGTCCTTCCTTCAAGCACTGTATCCAATACAGCAACAGCACTGTAACTAGCTCTAGTGCTGCATCTCCGCGTACTCTAATCGCTCAAAGCTGGATGACCCAAGGCTAAAGGCGCGTCGAAGGAGTGTCTTGACCTTGAACGTGTGCTCGATAGTGCCCTCAATTTGTCCAACCTCATGGTCATCCAGTAGCTTCTGGTATGGGGGACTAACGGCCTGTAAAAACAGTGTTGTATTAGGGTATGCCATATCGCTACTGGCAGGCCAGCAGTACATCGCACCAGTCAAATTCACCGGTTAAATTAACTGGGCTTGAGAGTAGCGTGATGATGATATTCTTGATGATATTCTTGATGATATTCTTGATGATATTCTTGATGATAATGACGATGATATTCTTGATGATAATGACGATGATATTGATGACGATAGTGATGATAATATTGATGATACTGATGAGATGATACCGTTGATGGAGAAGAGAAGGGGAGAGGAGGAAGAGGAGAGGGAGAAGGCAGAGGATAAAGGCATCCCAAGATAGAGTATTCGCCATCACTAGGAGGCGCCCGCGATATCGTTTCTGCACTGACTGGCTACAAATCAAGCGTACTCTGTTCCCCGATGTGCCCGCCGGTTGCAAAGTCATAGACAACAAAGTCCTAGAAAGCACAAATAGAAAGAAAAAAATTAGATCAGTGATTTCTTTGGATCTAAACCAATGTCACCTTTGAAAAAAAAAAAAAAAAAAAAAAAAAAAAAGAAGAGATCCATAAAGTCTACGACTTACGTCTATGCTTGGTATGCAACCATCTTGGCTTTTGCCTCTGTAGGCGTTGCCGAGTTGAAATGTTTTTGTGTGTGACAAGTGGGTTGGGATTGAAGAGTTATGAGTGCATAACAAAATAAAAAGTAAAAAGAAAAAAGAAAAGATGAAAACAATGCCAGGCTTTATTTATACTTCGTTTTTTTTTTTTCCCTTGCCCTCGAGTTTGATCAGTAAGTGTTAGTGCATTACACAAAAGTCACAAAGACTGGTGATGCACCTTGTCAAAGGACTTTCTGCCCTTTCTTTATTTGGGTTTGTACTCCACAACCTACAGCCCCACAAACATCAAAGAGTAAAGCACAAAGCAACCAAGAGCAAATTGATTGCGCGGCATTTAAGGACTACATTTGAAACATAGTAAATTATCGTTTTTGAGCATGTCCCCATAGCATCCTACTTCGAAAAAAGTTGGTAAAGGAGAGGAAAGCAAGCTATCCCGGCCTTGAAAAGTGTATAAAAAGACATCTCTTTTTCTCTTTCTCAGGTCCCTTATATGATAGTCCTTATACTCTGCAAAGCATACGGTGCTCCAGAGCAGGGTTGTTAGTAGGTCTTTAGTACTGGTCCACTTGTGGGACCGGGAAAAAGCGCTCGAGCTCAACACTGTTTCAACATGTTTCTAGTCCAAGGGATGGTTTTGAAGCTCGATGATGAGAAGCCCCTCGAGGCGACTTCTCCAGAACCTGGAGTCAGGTGGGGCGCCCTGGGCTGCCTGCAGATATGCAGGTAGACGAAGTGTCTAGTAATTCTTTTTTCATATATTTTTACATTCCATGTCTTCACTGTGAGGTAGGTTCTCTGGATCATCAAAGATTGGCGTGATCCTACGATGTTTTTATATGTTTTTGGTGGCGCGTTTTACCCTTATTCTTGTTCCTAGAATTAAGTTTCCATTGCGACCCTTTTTTTAAATGGCAGAGTGAATAATGAGGTGCTCATGAGGGGTGATGGTTGGCAATTATTGATTCATTTGATTCATTTCATTTGATTCATTTCAATTGATTTATTTCATTCAATTGGTTCATTCAAGCAAGATTCAGCTAATGAAATGGATGGCGTGACCCATGCAACAACTCATGGTAGAATCCTAGCACGCTTTTCTTTTAGGCTCCACCTTTGCATACAGCAACAAACCTAGTCAAATGGTATCTAAACTTGAACGAGGCTTAAGATCAGCTCACTTCCGGTTTTACCATGGATAGGTGAATTCACCAAAGGTTTCCTTGAAAAAAAAAAAAAAAAAAAAAAAATCACATGCATACTTTTTCCGGATGTATTTCCTTCTATATTTTACTTGCTTCCTTCCTATCTTCCTCACACCCGAATCATTGAGCCTATCAAGATACCAATTATCAAGAGCAGCTTCCTTAGCTTCCTTATACCTGGTCACCAATCTCATTGTATGTTGATCACATTTTTTTGCTGTCTGGCTTCCCTAAGATTATCAACACCAATCCTAACCAACTTATTACTCCTGATAAATCAATAGCGAAAAGCAAAAGCAAATGAATGTGTTTAGATCCTTGAATACTCGCAAGACTTTGTCCGCGCAGGTCGCTTTCAGTATCGCCACTGCATATTTAGAACAAGCTAACAAAACTACTGACCCGAAGGTGACAGCGGAGCATTGCTTCGACGCAGTAAAAGCACTTTCTCGGATACGATCCAACGGACAGAAACACCTCGTCACCTCCTTTTGTCCTGAAGACCAACAATTCTGTATGAGTGTGGCTGATACCCTATTTGATCTTGGGACATTGTTAGCTGGTCACAATTATCAAAGTGAAGCACAGGGCTGTTTTAAAGAGGCTCAACGATGGAGGCAGGATCAAGAGAGTACCCGGCTGGTGCAATACTCATCTACATCCACACCCAGTCATAAAAGCGATGGGAGCAAAAATAATATCAGAGACGACTCTATCAACTCGAGCAGCCAACATACAAAAGGCAATATGAATGACTTGAATATTGTGCAGCCACAACTACTGAGAGGCCATGATGCTGTCATTGTCCCAACGGATATCTTTGGCAGTGATGAACCTCCAACTATTGTCAGATACAACCTACCAGGTTTCGACGAACGACTCAACGACGTTTCTCAGCTTGTATATTGTCTCAATCTACTGCAGTCTGCACCTTTTCGAATGGACAATCTCACCGCATCTGAGCATGAATGGTCCGCCTCTAGGACAGTCGATTTAGGTGAACTGGAACGACTGCGCAGCTTAGTATCGGATATGGTTACTATGTTCATTAACGACGGGACCAAAGCCAAGGCCGCCGTTGTCGAGGTCGTTCGTCTGGCCCCAGTCCTCGACAGAGAGCACTATAGGAGGCTGCTGATGGCTTTCATTAACGACATCAATGAGGGCATCATTCTTGATATACATCTTCTAGAGGGGCTAGCTCAGCTGATGCAACATGGCCCTCCTAATTACCTGGACTCTGATGATCTTGTCAAAATTCTAAATACTCTTAGTCCACGAATAAAAGATGTTCACAAGCAATCAAGCGAATTCCTCTATTCACTGGTCGCAACTATCTCACAAGTTCTTGATGCCATGGCCAATAATCAAGTAAAAGGCCTCAAGCGCGAGCAGCTTCATGAGCCTCTGTCAGCTTATTTAAAAGGATTGATGGGTGACTCTGATCCTTATCTAGTGTACCACGCATCCTATGCATACCAGGCGTTACAGTACATCCCTGACGATGAGACACCCATACAGGCAATGCTTCGGCGCACAACAACCGTCCTCCGAGGTGTGTTCGGAGTAGTTGACGCAATTGATAGCCTTGAGTTGAGTGCATTCATGGATGAACTAACTAAAACCCAGGGGCAGGTAACAACAGTAACAGAAGTTGCAGACATGGGCCTGCAAGTGTACAATGGTATTGTAACGCTAGCTGCGAGCGGAGTAGCATTCATAGAATGTATGAAGGAAGGTTTTTCCTTCAGCGGCAAGGCCACATGGTACCCTGCGCTGCGTATGGCCGACTTATTGCTCCAGGCGGGACAACTCATCAAGTTCAAGGCATTTGTATGTGAGGTTCCATGTCGGCGCGATCCAGCGTTCCAATGGGGGCTATGTCAACTGCTAGGCCAGATCGCAGCCTGTCCTCGAATGACCATATGCACACGTCAAGATGCAGTCACTTTTTTAGCCATGATTTATAAGAATGATGCTGAATGGGGAAGCTACGCCCATATAAAGCAATATATCATTGCCATCCTCAAAAAACTAGTATTTGAACCAGGGTCCCTTACGCAAAGTAAACCTTTTTTTTTACCTTCATTTCATTCGTTTATTTTTTTATTTTATCAAATTATTAATCATTATAACCTGTGTTTATTCAACTCACTTTGGATCGATCTTTGTCTATTTTTGACATACTGTAGATGCTAGATCACAACTCCAGGAGCTCGCCACTGATAGAGACGTAGATAAGCAAAGCCTCGGCAATGCGTGCATAAGTGGTCCGCCCTTCCAGAACTGCTTTCATGTTCCTTCACCTCGCCTTGCATCACCATCCTTGCTTGACCGTGTTCAAGAGGCGCCAGATGATGAAAAGAGTATACAGCAGTTTAAACAGTTTCAACTCAAAAGTCGCGACGACAGAGATTTTTATATCCCGCTGTATGCCAAAGAAAACCCAAAAGCACGTGATGACGATTTGTTCCTTTTGATGGAGAGGGTAATAGAGTTTTTGAATAGCGATAACAAAGTATTTCTCATCCAAGGCGATTCTGGCGCGGGCAAGTCAACATTCAGTCGTACGCTTGAACATAGACTGTGGGACTCCTATGTGAAGAGGCGAGGACGTATTCCCCTTCACATTAATTTAGCAGCTGTTGAAAACCCAGATAAAGACCTAGTGGCAAAGAGGCTGCGAATGGCTGGCTTCACAAGGCCCCAGATCAAGGAGCTTAAGATGAGTCGCAAGTTTATCCTGATATGCGATGGATATGATGAGAGCAGGCAATCCAAGAACCTGTATGTGACTAATCGGCTGAATGAGCCTGGAGAATGGGATGTCCAGATGGTGATCAGTTGTCGCAGCGAGTACCTTGGTCAGGACTACCAGAGTCGCTTCAAACCGACAAGACGTAATTACCATATTGAATTGCCGCAGTTTCAAGAGGCGGTAATTGCCCCGTTCTCTGAATCTCAGATCGATGAGTATATTGAGCACTACGTGGAAGCTATAGATCCATTGTGGCATGTTGAGGACTACCGACGCGCGCTTCAACTAGTGCCAAGCTTGCACGAACTCGTCAAGAACCCTTTTCTACTTTCGATGTCATTGGAGGTGCTTCCTCGGATGGTAGATCCGGACCAAGGTCTTTCAGGGTCTATGGTTAAACGTGTAACCCTATATGACCAGTTCGTAGAGTTCTGGTTCGAGCGGGGCAAGAAGCGGTTGAATGAGATAATAGGGCCAGAGGACAGAAGAGCATTCGAAACCCTATTGGATGACGGGTTTGCAGCAAACGGGGTTCGATATCTGGCGGATCTGGCGACAGCAATTTACAAATATCAGGATGGTAATCCTGTTGTAGATTACTCTCCATATCAACACAAGGGTACATGGAAAGAAGGGTTCTTCAGCAGGGAAGATGGTAGAAATCTCTTGCGCGAAGCCTCCCCGCTGAACCGCACAGGTAACCAGCATCGATTTAGTCATCACTCAATACTAGAATATAGCATGGCTCGTGCTATATTTGAACCACAAGAGAGAAAAAACGCTATGGTCGATAAGCCATCGACAGGTGCAGCAACGACCTCAGGATCCTCGCGTCGACAGAGTGTTAGCTCTGATTACAGCTTTACTATTGCAGAAGACACAGATCAAGCGGCTACTACTAGTCTTGACCCCCTTGATCCGAGCTCACCTCTTGCGTGGAGAAGCTTTGTAGATGCACCATTAGTGCTGCAGTTCCTACTAGACCGAGTCCAACTAGAGCCCATGTTCAAACGACAGCTGCTTGCATATGTGGAGCACTCAAAAAGCGATAGAAAGTGGAGAATCGCAGCAGCTAACGCTATTACGATACTGGTACAAGCAGGGATCCCATTTACTGGAATCGACCTCCAAGGGATCCAAATTCCGGGCGCAGATCTGAGCCATGGTATATTCGACTCTGCTCAGCTACAAGGAGCGGATTTGAGGAAGGCCAGGATGCGTAACTGCTGGCTCCATGAAGCCGATTTGAGTGGCGCACATATGGATGGAGTGCAGTTCGGCGAGTGGCCATTCCTTAAGCCCAATGTAGATGCCGTTGGCGGTTGGTATTCACCTGATGGAAAAAAATTAGCCGTGTTTTCGTTACAAAGCAGTGTGACTTTTTACGACACATTGGCTTGGGAAGAACTTTGGACAATATACAACTTTACTCGACTCTCATATTCGCCTGATTGCCAGTACATCGCGGTTCTTACTGGAGGATATCAAATCAGAGTGTGTGATGCGGCTTCTGGAGCAACTATTCGCAGTCTAGAAGGGGTCAGTGAGGTTCTTTGTCTGGCGTACTCGCCCAGCGGACATCAAATCATGGCGGGTGCTGAAGATCACACCATTCGGGTATGGGATGTACAATCTGGCAAGCTCATTCGTATTATGAAGGACCATACTGAGAGGATTGTAGATGTGGTATACTCCCCTAATGGAAGTCAGTTGGTTTCTACAAGCGATGATAAGACTGCTCGCATCTGGGACGCAGCATCGGGGGAACTGCAATTCGTTTTGCAGGGCTTTGAGGAGCGCGTCCTGCAAATGTTTTATTCGTTTGATGGTCATGATATCACTACAGTTAACAAAGGTGGGTCTCTTCGCGTATGGGATGCTGGATCAGGCCGATTGAGGCGGGAAGTGGATATTGGTAATGTAGTCGGAAGGATCGAATATTCTCGCAATAAGAACCGTATCGCTTGGTTTCGAGACAAGAGTGCATATGTGTGTAATGCATTCACGGGTGTAATCCTCCATATCCTAGAAGGGCACACTTCTTTCATCTTATTCTTGACATTCTCACATAGTGGTGAACAGATCGCTACATGCTCTCATGACAACACGATCCGGCTCTGGGATACTCAGTCCGGTCAGCTCATCAATATCTTCTTCGGCCACTCACGCTATGTGCTGTCTGTGGCGTATTCACCAAGCGGCCATCAGATTGCATCATTCAGTGATGACCAGACAGTTCGACTATGGGATACCCGACTGTTGCCATCCACTCAGGTTTCAGCTGGATCAGCCGGACATACAAAGAGTGTCTGCAAAGTGGTGGGCTCCCCTGGAGGGATGCAAATAGCTTCTGTTGACGAAAGCGGGGTAGCGCGCCTTTGGAATGGGAGAGAGGGACAAACTGTCCGCACGCTAGGAGCTGACCATAAAATGACAGTGGAAGAAATCAGGTATTCACCTACTGGCCTACAGTTCGCCGCTCGCTATAAAAGTAAGGCACTGCTCCTCTGCGACATTCAATCTGGTCAGGTTAAGCACACCTTGAGGCGAAAAGGAATACAAGACGACTATGCTTATGTGGTAGGATATACACTGAGTGGTCATCAGATTATGTGTCAGCACCGCAATGGAGATGTATGTGTGTGGGATACACAAACAGGGAAACTCATACGTACCTTACAAGGCCAAGAACAACGGCAACAGAACGCTCCTGCAAAATACTTTGCGTTTTCACCCGATGAGTTGAAAGTAGCGATTTTAAGTTACGATGGAATATTGACCGTGTGGATGGTTCAGACTGGAGATCTTCTCTACACCATAGAAGTCGATATGGATGAAGACAGTAATCTGGTCTACCTGCCTGATAGTCGTCATATCGTCATCCTTTGCTCCAGTAAAGGTTTGTTTGTATGGGACACACAGACAGGACTGCTCAGTTACACTGTGGATGTGGAGGAGTATCAGTTGTGCATTGCACTTTCACCCTGTGGTCGACAAATGGCTAGTGGTGGGTTTGAGGGGTCACTGAAATTAGTTGGTGTAGAATCTGGAGCAGCATTGCGAACGCTTGTAGGCCACGCAGGGGATATCAAAGATGTAGCATATTCCCGAGATGGTCAATTTGTTGCCTCTGCCAGTTGGGACAATACAGTGCGCCTTTGGGACCCAAAGAGTGGCCAATGCCTGGCTGTCATCCCTCACAGTGATAGTCGCATTGAGGTACTGGCTTGGATGGATGATGCTATTGCTAATGAAGGGGTTTGCTCGCTGGTAACAGGCAGTACCGATGGCTCCGTTTGGATGTGGCGAATTTCCAATGAAGGTTACGGTAAGGCTCGATACCAGCTACAATGGACCTCTAAGCAAACAGGATTGAATGCGGATAGGGCGTGTGTTGAAGGAGTGACCGGATTGAGTGGAGCCAACAAGAAACTTTTGAAGCAGCGAGGAGCTGTAGGTGCGCCAGCTCAATTTCCGACGATTAATGAAGAGATTAAGGGGTTTGAAATTGCGACCAATGGGAAGTACACCGCAACGGCAACAAACGAGACCATCATGCCAAAAGCAAGCAAAGGCCGTGTCATTAAAGAGGAACCATTGATTACGACGGATGAGTTGCTGAGTAGTCACCGTTATACTTTTAGTGTATGTAGCACATGTAGCGTGGCGCATCTTATTCGATGTAGTCGTAAGTGACTAAACTATGCGCAGTAGCACTGAAGTAAAAGGTACTTTGTCTTTATATCCTTTTGGACAACCTGACTGTAGCCATTGAATCTAGAGGGATTAAAATCAATTGAAATACTAAGCCCATCTCCTGGTTGTAGAAGCTTGTCAAGGCAGCGGATGAAATTTTGGTCGCATGAACCATGAAACGGAGCGTGCTTGTAGCGAAGGCGCAGCATGGGAAAGAAGCTGATCAATGTCGTGTGTGTGAATAGCGTTTCCCCAACGGGCGAATACTCTAGAACATGTATGTATGTACATGTATTTACTTGTATTACATGTACACATACATGCCCAAAAAAAAAAAAAAAAAAAAAAAAAAAAAAGTGAGCTAAATACGTCAATGATAATTTTGTTGGTTACAAAGAGTTGTGTGCCCCGAGCGTAGGGAAGAGGAAATCTGGGGTGAAAAAGATATAAAAGATAATGAATAAACATTCCAGCGACAGAATGACATATAATGAAGGGTGTAGAGCATACAAAATAATAGTAAAGGGCTATGCTAACGTGCGCTTGCATCAAGTGAGATGGTTCCCAAAATCAATTGTATAAAAGTGTCAAGAGGTTAGATAACTCAAAATAAGATCGTTTTAATTTTGTTGGGGAGCTTTAAATCTTAAATAACTCTATAATTTTTTTTATTTTTTATTTCTTTTTTCTATCGATAAGACGAACACCCCTTGAGTTCAACTGGAAATGGGCCATCTTATTTTAAGACAAATCATGGCCGCTCTCAATACTTGTGCCTAGCTCCTCATTAACCCATTGTTCCTACATCTCTCTTTGTTCTCATGATTCATTCCTCTATTCATTCCACCATTGCATTTACATGACTTCGTCGTTTTTTTTTTTTATTGACCCAACAGCCCCTTTATTGCACATTTTAATTTACCCTCCACATTCTCACCTATTACTTTTTTTTTTTTTTTTTATAAATATCAAGCACTTGTACGACCCAGATGAATTCCTGGTACCAACCTGCAACTTCCCCTGCTCCATCATCTACCCCTACTAAGGCTCAAAGATCTTCTCGCCCTGTTTTCGCAAGTGATCTGGTTGCACAACGGCCTAAAAACGGTGGTACCAAACATATGCCCCCTCACCCTCTTGTATCTCCCTTGTCATCGCCTACAATAGCCACTTCTACCGCCACTTTACTTTCTTCATCCAACTCCACATCCTTATCAACTGCTGGGATCCATTCAAAGCTGGCTTCTGGTAGCGTCAATACACATAGCAACAATTCATCAAGCAGCCATTACACAATGCCGGACTTCTCCGCCAAACTTGGTGACCTCCCAACGATCCATCTGCCAGAGTTCCATCTACCAGATTTGCAACGGTTAAAGCAGCAACTAAACAAGCATACTCCTTCATTTTCTCTAAAGTCATTACGACATACCTTCCATGTTCCATCCTATACCTCCTACATGTCCCCGTCCTCAGCTTCAATCTCATCCTCATCCTCATCCTCATCCTCATCCTCATCCTCATCCTCATTTTCGTCGTTATCTGCTTCACCCCAGTCATCTCCAGCATGTAATGTTACTGCTGATCCTGCAAAGCCGAAACCTTCATTCACGTCAAGGCTATCGCGATCCTCGATTTTGCGCAACAGTCGTCTAAACGAAAATAGCAGTAACCGAAAGCCATCCAAATCATCAATCGCAAGCCCGCAATTGACAAATTCTCATGACAGTACGACCATTAAAAGCAGTGATCGTGATGATTCAACAGCCAAAGCAATTTCGTCACATTCAACTTCATCCCCGATTTCCATCCCTACACACCCATCGAACTTTCTTATCAAAAAACAGATAACTGCCTCCAATACATTAGAACCACATCAAACATCTACTGTCAATGTCAGTAGTGATAGTGTATCAACTGGAAAGGCTCGCTGTGTTACTAATACGACGGCTCCAACTCCGGCAAAGTCACCAATGGGTCATCTCTTCATCCAAGTTATCGAAGCTCGTAATTTGACACTAGTCAATCCTCCAGCACTGTCGCGGCCTTACTGTATTGTAGAGTATGATCAAAATGAATTCATGACGCCACCAGCACTACAGGAGACAACCACAGATACAATAGGTCGTGGAAGAGGTGGTATGGACATTTTCGCTCGAGCTATGGCAGCCAGCAGCCCGAAATGGCGCTACGATGCAGAATTGTAAGTCCTTTTTTTTTATTTTTATTTTTTTTTTTTATTTCTGCATTTGAAGCATCACTCCATGTCTTCATATTCATTAATACTCCTTCTTTTCTTCTCACCATTTTTATTATTGTTATTAATTATGTATTTATGTATTTATCTATTTATCATTTGTTTTCCATTTATATTTTCGCGGTTGGGCAAAGTGATGTGGTCAGACCCAACCAACAAATCGTGATAACGATTTTTGATTCAGAAACTGCGGAGGAGCAATATGATTCGCTCTCGAACCCAGCAAAAAGGTTTTTGGGTCAAGTCAAACTTCATCCTTCCGAAGTTCACAACCGGATGATTGACTCGTGGTTTCGCTTGCAAGGCAGAGAGACCAAGGATGAGAATGTTACTGGTGAGATCAGGGTCGTCATCCGATACCAGGCAATTGAGGTAAAGAGAGCTCTAATGCCTAAATTTTCCTATTTCATTATTATTATTATTTTCCATTGGGGAGGTTTTTCTTTTCGGTGGCGGAGATTGGACATGTGATTCATTTAGCGCAATTGATGGTTGCACATTCGCACAGACCTTGCATGAGGAAAAAAAAAAAAACAAAAAACAAAAAAAGGAATGTTGTGTATATAGTATCCCCTGCTCGTCTCACTCACTCACTCACTTGTATATCCATTTTGATTCTGTTTAAACTTGATAGTCACGCCATTTATCCGCCTCTGACTTTGATATCCTTCGAGTGCTCGGCGTTGGTTCCTTTGGAAAGGTTTATCAAGTCCGCAAGAAGGACACTGGCCGTATCTATGCCATGAAGGTCCTTGTCAAGAAACAGGTCATTGAACAAAAACAAGTCGAACACACCATTGCAGAACGCAATGTCCTGATCCAGTCCTTACAATCACCTTTCATCGTCGGTCTCAAGTTCTCGTTCCAGACTCCCACAAAACTTTATTTGGTTCAGGATTTTATGAATGGGGGCGAACTGTTCTTTCATATGCAGAATGAAGGAACATTCTCAGAACCCAGGGCGAGATTTTATACTGCAGAGCTGGTATTGGCCTTGGAGCATCTGCATTCGCATAATGTTGTCTATAGGGATCTCAAGCCCGAGAACGTCCTCCTCTCGAGTCAGGGACATATTGTCCTAGTAGATTTTGGGCTCTGTAAACAGAACGTGACCGAGGATGAGCGCACACATACATTCTGTGGTACGACCGAATACCTTGCTCCCGAGATTATTAAAGGAGAAGGATATGGAAAAGCGGTCGATTGGTGGTCTTTGGGCGTGTTGTTGTACGAGATGTTGATGGGCACATCCCCTTTTGCTGACAGCAGAGCTGAAGGAACTCATCACAAGATTTTACATCAGCCCGTAATCTTCCCGACCCGATTGGGGTTGGGTATCTCTAAAAACGGACCGCCCAAAGGAGAGCTTCATCCTTCTTCACAGGATGTTTTGTCTATTGGGATCAGTGAGAATGCTCAAGACTTGATCCAGAGATTGCTGGATAAGGATCCCAAGACTCGACTTGGCTCTGGAACCAGCAATGACAACGACGAAGGCACTGTCAGTGGGGTAGCAGCAATCAAGGCCCATCCATTTTTCCAAGGGATTGATTTTGTCCGTCTTCAGACACGAGATGTTACACCACCTTTCCAGCCTCATGTGGGAATCACAGGTGATCTGGATGTCTCCAACTTTGACACGCATTTCACAGACCAGACAGCGACGTTGAGCATGAAGAGTAGTAGCACTAGCCCAAAAGTTATGTCACCGACTTCTCCTTTACAATTTCAAATGGCAGAATCACCTTCAAATTCGTCCGTGTTGGTGGATGGTACTGTCGGTAGCTTCATGTTACAACAACAACAAAGAGCAGCTAACCAGTACCGACAACAACAGAAGAGAGCTGATAACAGTACATTAAACCCGAGTGTGATGCGTCGTGGTCGACGAAGCAGTAACAGCTGGAGCAGTTATCGGACCTTGAGCAACGATTCGCTGTTTTCTCTAAATGACCAATCAGGCAGCATCAGTAATTCAATGCAAGCACGATCACCATTCCATCGGCCTATGACAGCTCACAGGTCTAGGGTGCTTCAACAGCCACAGTCACAGTCACAACAGGAATACTTTAAAGGCTTTACGTTTGAAGGAGAGAGTATCTTGGAAACGATGAAGCGTCAGGAAGAAGAAGCGATGCTTAATCACGGTCATATCAATCTGACTAATACGAGTACAATGACATTGTCCCCTCCCATGTCTGGTTTTGGTCATCGTCATCAGCCGAATCAGCTTTTTTCAGGCGAACCTGGTAGTATTGATTCAATTTTTGGTAGCATGTAGCATTATCTTTTTTTTATTTTTTTTTTTATTTTTTTATTTTATTGTGTACAAGTAGTATTCATAAATGTATTTGACTACTATCGAAAAAAATTTAAGGTCTACAGTATATTATTTTTATTTATAGTTATCTATAAATCTATTTGTATTTGAGAGGAAATCCAATAATAATAATATTTAAAAAAAAAAAAAGGCAATAGCTTTTTTCCTTTCTTTTTTTTTAAGCAGTCGTAATATCGAGAAGGCGGACCCATGCTCCATTCAACTGTGCCAATTGGCCTGCTGTACCTACTGTACCTGCGCCAGAAGAGGACGAAACGGCTTTTGATGACTCTGCACCTACAACAGCACCAGTATCAGTATCAGTGCCTGCATCAGTATCAGTATCAGAAGCTGGTACAGGTTGAGCTTGAGCCAAGGCACTAATGAAGCCTGGATCTCTTGATGAGACGGTGATGGTGCCATCCTGAAGGTACTGTTGATTGTTCATCTCGATATGATCCAAGGAATACAAATAATTGATCATCAATCCGAATGATTCCTCCATTCCTTTATCGGACGTGTCTCCCATCCAGTTCAATCGATGTGCACAAGCTCCATTCCGGAGATGGAAATTAGCGACAGGGTCAAGTGCTAGATGACGACGTTTTTCAATCAAGATGTATCTATTCATAAAAAAAAAAAGCTGTTAATGAGCTGCCATTATTGGGGATACGAAGGATTTAACACTACTCCGTTAAAAAAAAAAAAAAAAAAAAAAAAGTAAAAATAATTTACCTAGCACAGAGTCGGGTTAAGATCGGTCGAAGCTTTTCGGTGGCTTCATAATCAGAGAAGATTGGAGCGTGTTGAAGAATTACCTAACATTGACAAAAAAAAAAAAAAAAGAGAGAGAGAAAAGAGTCATTTTAATAAATAACAACCAACAGTAAAGGGTTTTTTTTTTTTTTTTTTTTTTTTTTTTTTCTAAGCGTCAAACATAATGCTCAACATAAAAGTGAGGGAAGGGAAGGGGAGGGGGGAGAGAACACTGTTGCTTACACTAAATTGCTCCTCCGAGTCTGATGATATGGCGGCTGCTCCGATACCTTGAGCCAAGTCACTGATGACAGCTGTTTCCTGTGGTAATAACATCTTTTGTCCAAGTTTCTGACATTGATTCAGCCATTTTCTAAATCCAGGGATAGGTGAAAGAGTACTGAAGGTTTCAATCTGTGGAAACTCGACCTTCAAAGACCGAACGACTCGTTTGATCAAGAAATTGCCCAGTTCAATCCCGGACAAGCCTGTGATAAATGATGTTGAATAAAACAGGAACGGTTGTTGAGATTGTCAGGCAAAGTGATATGTATATAAAAAGAGGAAGGGAGGAGAGAGTTAACGAGAACTTGCCTACTTGTGTCGTGATAGAGTAAAAGATGGCGCACTTTACAGTTCTGGCTGGGTGAGTATGGCCGGGGGAGGGGTCATTCAAGATATCCTGCACATTATTGGACAGCCTTTCAACCAGAGCCACTTGAACAAAGACAAGAGGTTCTGTAGGAAGGCTCTTGTTCATCAATGCAAACACACGTCGACCGGGTCCTACACGACGTTTCAGATCATGAAAGTCTTTGAATTTGTGCACTGCTTCATATTGTGTAATCTAGTAAACAGATGGATCAAGGAAAATCAAGAATGTTTTTTTTTTTTTTCCGTTATAAAATAGTTTTTTCATTTTATTTTTGTGCGATTAAAAGTTTTTTTTTTTTTTTTTTTTACCTTTTCCAGAAGGACTGCTGGCGACTGCCATGTTAGACGTTCCAGATCCAAAAAGCCCACAAACCAAGCCTGTAACTTTTCCTTGAGTGACTCGTTCAAAGCTGAAAGATAGAAATCATTTTTATTGTCCTGAAGGATCGTCTGTCATTCATGTCAGCAGAAAGATATTCCAAAAAAAAAAAAAAAAAAAAAAAAGAAATCGAATCATTTCAATTCAAGTTGTAATAAGAAAAAATAAAAACTTTTTTTTTTTTTTAACAAATATATTTCTCTTTCTATTTACCAAAAGATCCTGTCGCATGTCGATCAAAAATTTTAGTCCTCCTGGAAGTCGACTGACACGATCAAAGAACTTGTTGTGTCCTGGAACAAGCGAATGGCGGAGCAATTGTTCTGCTCGAAGCAATGCCTTGCCCTCCGGATCAGTGTGTACACAATCCGTATACTGCTGAGCAGCCTTCGCGGCACCTTCCTGTAAAACACCTGTTTTGTATCCACATTCCACATTGAATTAAAGAAATAAAACACAGAGTTGTTTTTAGAAAGATCATTTTGAAGAACGTAAAAGAAAGAAGAAAGAGAGAGAGAGAGAGCTTATTATATAGATAATATATATATATGTATTACCAAAATCTCGCGCAAGCAACTTCAAGAACGCGGTTTTGCCCGTCTGATCCAAGGACGCGTAGAAATCACATGAGCTCTTAGCAATCACGCTCGGTAAAATATCACCTTGTCCCGGTCGACCTGTGATGACTGCTAACAACAACTTTCGCATGAATTCTGGATCCTTTGTCGTGGCTCGACTTGTCTTTTCTTTATCAAAGGTCGAGAACCCGGGCTCTCGAAAGTGTTCTGCAATATCATTCCAATATCGTTCTACCACGTTTGGTCGTAACGATTGTAATGTCCCTGATCCAGCAGCAGTCTTCGTAGTAGCAGTATCAGCAGCGGCATTTCTATCCTTACTGTTGTTGTCATTGTTGTTGTTGTTGTCATTGTTGTTGTTGCTGTTGTTGCTATTATTTGTATTGTAAGCCATGATGCTAGCAGCCTAAGAATATGTTGAAAAAGAAATGGTTTATTTTCACAAAGAGCTCATTGCATGCATTCAATTTTTTTTTTTGTTTTTTAAATTCTTTTTTCATCCATGCATGTGATCTCTCACGCTTGTCGGACTTTGTATATACTACCCTACACACACACTCTTTTTTTTTTTCATTGTTTTCAATCAGAGATGGTACCTGAGACTGGCGGAGCAAGAGTGGGGATTTGATGGAATGAAGAGAAGCAGGTGTCTTTTGAAGAGAAAGGAATGAAGAAGAGCACTTGCTGTTGCTGTTATTGAGCCGAGAGAGCAGCAGTTGCCGCGTGAACATTTTTTTTTTTTTTTTTTTCTATTTTATTTTATTAATTATTATTTTTGTTTCTTATTTTCTGTAAATGACAAGTGACAAAAGACAAATGAGGTGATGAGTTTGTACCAAGAAAGAAGAAAAGAAAAAAGATAAAGTGGCTCTTTGCTTTAGAGATAGTAAATGGAGCGAGATGTAATATGCAAGGCAAGGAAAGGCAAGTAAAAATAAATAAATAAAAAACGATTATGCAGTGTGAAGAGACAGCCGAAGCATGCCTCTTGGTCTCATATGATGGGAAGCGTGAGAAAATAATTTAATGGGTCGTGTACTACACACATGAAACATGATTAAAAAAAAAAAAAATATGTTTCTTTTGCAAAACTATCAAGCAAATGCCATCATGGATTCTCTCTTCACCCTCATTGATCCTCTATCCTGTCTACTTTCAATCCTTTCTCGACTGCTTTGTTGCTGTTGCTGTTGTTGTTGTTGTTGTTGCTTTGTTCGCTGTGACACAAATGGAAGTGAGAATGCAGAGTCTCGTAATGCATCTTCAACTGCCATGCCATCAATCTCATCTGCATCCACCAAATCATGTCCATCTCGTTTCTCAAACTCCAACCGGAGTCGGTCAATACGGTTATCATGAATCAATGTTGTTCGTGTGGCCGCTGCTGTTCTTTGTCCCGATGTTATTGTATGGGGTGATGCTGGGTTGACACCCAAAGAACGGAGAATCTGTGCTGCTTTGAGCTCCATTGTAGTCCTTGCACCCTTGTACTCTGGCCCATTATATCTGGCACGTGCAATAATCCCATACAACGCACATCCTATTACAAGTGTACCTCCACTTGCCATCGCTGTCATACTTCCCATCACCACACCTCCCATAGCACCGAGAGATCCCACTGCTGACATGGACCATGCAACTGTTTCGGCCTATAAGATCCCAAAGAAGAAAAAGAAAATTGTTCGTGAGTGGTGTGTGAGTGATAATAGGATATAATGAACGAAAAAGAACAAAAAAAACTGTACCTTTTTCTCAGTGCGAGGGTCCAGTCGATGAATAATATCAATTAATTCCTTAATTAACCTCAAGTCTTCCTGCACTTGCTCCGGCACCTCCAAAAACTGCTCACTGATCCAAGCCTCCGTCGATTGAACCACATCTTCACATTGCTTCAACAACTCCTCAAGTTGATTGTGAAAACCAATAACTGAATACGTGGATGAGGCCTTGTGAGCAGAATACATTGTCGCGACCAAGGACGCTACACCAACTGTCGCCATTAGAGCCAAGGATGCAGGATCTTGTTGACCGTTCTTTTTGAGCATTTCTTGACTGGTCTCCTCTTTTTCCTTGTCCTTTTCATCCTTGCTCTTTCTCTCCTTTTCTGCTCTCTTCAATTCGTCCTCTTGTTCCTTTCGTTTCTTTTCTCTTTCTTTTTCTTTTTCTTTTTCTTCCTCCTTTTTCTTCTTTTGTTGCTGCTCCATCTCTGCTTCTAATTTCTTGACTTTAGTCTTTTGTAATTCGAGTTCTTGCTCCAGTTTGTGGCGCTCTCGTCGTTGTGCATCAATCTCTGACCGGGCTGTTGCAGAATGGTGTCTCATATCGCGCTCCATCTGTTGTAGCCGTTGCTCCATCTCTCGGAGCCGCTCTCGCTCTCGTTCCTGGTCCCAGTTCCTATGTTTAGAACCAAACCAAGAAGAAGAGGTAGAAGAAGCAGAGGACCGTTCCCATGCGTCCTCATTATGGTACCTTCGTGAGGATGACGATGCTGCTGATGCTGCACCATCCATATATCGTCCTGCAAGATAGAGTCCATTCTCAAGGATCTTTTGTGATTCTATGGCAGGAGCCAGATTCTGAAGTTTAGAGAAGAACCCTTTTGATGATGATGATGATGATGATGAAGCAGAAGTAGAGGCGTTTTCGGCTTGTTGTGTTTCATCTTTGATATTGTTGTTCTTGCTGTCACTGTTAGCATCCATTGTTTGTTGTGTGTTTGGATTGGGTATAGGCATAGGCTCCTGTTCTTGCTCGGTCTTTGCAAGTTGAGAGAGGATATGAGGGGTGAAGGCTAACAGGGTCGAGACAGGCGGTACAAACTCGAAGGTATCGGGATCATATAATTCCCTTGGAAAGGTGATGTCGTCAAAAAGAATCGATGCCATTGTTTAGAAAGAAAAGGAATGGCTGTAATGCAAATGGTATAAATAGCAGAGACTAATGAGAGGAATAGCAATGAATGAATGAATGAATGAATGTGAATAAAAAGCTAAAAAAGTAAGAAAAAAGGATAGAAAAATAGAGAAGGTGCCAAGAATGACAATGACACTGCATTGTATGACTGCTGTGAGAAAGACTTTGGCTCAGCAATAAATTTTCCATAAAGAGAAGAAAGGGGTTGCAAATTGCCAAATACAATCTGTCCACGACTCAAAATAAATTTGAATGGACGTCTTTTTTATTTTTTTTATCTAGAGGTTTAAACTCACGTTCACTCTGCCTTGGCCACGTTTACACACGCTCACTCTAGTATGACCACATTTAAACTCGCGTTCTCTCTAACCTGACCACGTTTATCTACAATAAGGTGGGCGCTTCTCACACGGCGCAACAACATCTCGCTCACAATTGCCCATGCAGTTTGTGTAGATCACATAGCATGTTCCTGGCTCTATCCCTCTGGCCATGCAGTCTTGGAAAAGGAACCGACATTGGTCGCATTTAATCGCTTCTGTACCAGACAGAGTCAACACGATGCCTACCAAGGCCAACAGGTAGAAGCAAGCAATCCTCATTGGTGGGAAATCAGATTTCAAATGTCTAAGATAATGGCGTTTGTTCAGGAAAGGAGGAATTAAAGTCAATACCATTTCATAGAAGAAAGTCATCTATAGAACAACAACAGCTACAGGAATACTCACCTTGTTTGCAGAATGCGGGGAAAGATATGGATAAAAAAGAAGACTGAGGAGGATACGAAGATACGAACGAAAAAGAAAACGGAAAAAAAAAAAAAAAAAAAAAAAAACTTCCATCCTACTTTATATACTGGATATCGGCTCAAGAGCATTTTATATTATTACTGTAGTTCAAGGCCTAGTCCTGGGTAGAACATGTTCTCCCAATATCCACCTGTCTATATCTACCTGTCCATATCTGCCTATCCAATACGCGCCTTCACTCTCTTATGTTTCACTACGCCCTCATTTACCTATCGCGTCAAGGGAAATGTAGGCTTTTTGTTGTTTGTTGCTCATTTAACATCTTATCCAAATGATTGCAGTTTGACCATTCAATTATACATAAAGTGTCAAGTATGGTTGCTCACTGACAGAGGATACCAATTAATGTACGAAATCAGAAGGTTGGCATTCGCAAATAAACGTGCACAGAAATCGATTTTATTCTCATGCTGCATCGCAAGGAAGCAAAGAGAAGAGCAATCGTCATCTTACATGGAACATGTCCAGGGCAAAATTTTAGTATCACCTCTCTTTTAACAACGTTCAACAAAAGAAACGCCCAACCTAAACAGAAATATACTCAAGCTCTCAACTTTCGCATCTGCATACCTTGCCCTGAGGTAGTCCAATTTTGGTACCCAGCTCTTGTGTCGGCACTCGTCCTGAATACCAAAATCTATGCACTCAAGTTTCATTTACTTCAATTATCGAATATAGATTATCCCTCACCTTTAAACACGTTTTTCATTCTCTATGCTCCCCATGACTAAACTTGATCACTCGTACTTCTCGGACCAATCAATGTACCCTTTTGTTTATTTACTCCCGTCTTCTATGGGGCGTTTGCCCTCTCTTCATTCTAATGTGCTACAAGTTTCACTTATACTCTCAACCTCATCACTATAATGTGTAAAATGTGGCATACGTGGAGCTCTCCCAATATTTGTGCCCTCAAGCGCCCTCAGTGGGAGTATGACAGGAAAAATCCCTCATAACAAAGCTGTATACACATACCTGATCAACCATTTATTCATTATTCGCCCATCCTCCTTTTATTAGCTGTGTCGTGCCTCATCTCCCTCTCTCTCTTTTCCTCCCTAACTTTCCTATTCTCACTTTCTTTATTTCTCTCTCACACTCTTATTCAACTAGGAAGCTATATGGAGAATCTTAGCTTTGACAATAACATCCTTATTAAGAGTGGAGGCATCAAGACGTTGGTGGAGGCATTGAAGAACAACGCCACACCGACGGCTATTGACCTGCGCAACAATCCTATCGGCGATGAAGGTGCCAAGACAATAGCAGAGATATTGAAGAGCAACGCGACACTGGTCTCCATCGACCTGGAAAACACCTCTATTGGCTCTGAAGGTGGCAAGGCAATAGCAGAGGCAGTGAAGACCAACACCACACTGACGACTATTAACTTGTTCAACAATAATATTGGATCTGAGGGTGGGAAGGCAATAGCGGAGGCCTTGAAGACTAACACTACACTGACTACCATTAATCTGTTCAATAACAACATCGGGCCTGAAGGCGGCAAGGCGATAGCAGAAGCATTGACAAGCAACACCACGCTGACGGCCATTTACCTGCGCAAAAATAACCTTGGTTCTGAAGGCGGCAAGGCGATTGCAAAGACATTGAAAAGCAACGTGACACTAAACACCATTCATTTGGGTGAGAATAGTATCGATAATGAGGTTGGCAAGGCAATTGCAGAAGCATTGAAGAGCAATACCACATTGATGACCATTGACTTGTACAACAACGGAATTGGCTCTGAAACTGGCAAAGCAATAGCAGAAGCATTGAAGAGCAACACTACCTTAACGACCATTGACCTTGATAGCACTTTTATTGGGTCAGAAGGCGGCAAGGCGATAGCGGAGGCACTGAAGTGCAACACCACTCTGACGACCATTAACCTGTTCAACAATGATATTGGCCCCGAAGGTGCCAAGGCAATAGCGGAAGCATTGAAGACCAACACCACATTGAAGACAATTGACCTGGGCAACAACCATATTGACGATGAAAGTGTTAAAGCAATGATGGAACCATTGAAAAGCAGCACTACACCGGCGACCATTTATCTCTATAACAATAACATTGGCTCTGAAGGTGGCAAGGCTATAGAAGAGGCAATGAATAGCAACCCCAAGATGATGATCTATTATGGAAGAGTGTGATTAAAGGCAATAAAGTGCCACGGAGAAGGCAAGGCAAAGTCCTCCATTCTTCTTCAGTATGCCCCGCATGTCACACACACTCTCATAATCTAATCTATATAAGCCTGCTGTTGGCAGATTTATTAAAGGAATATCTTATTTCTCATGATTCATTGACCCATTTATATGTAAAGACATTAATGCACTAAAAAGCTAGGAGTCGTGGAAACCAGTGACAACAATGCACAATATACTCACGTTGCGAGGCTACAACATTGGACCATAGAATGGACACGTGTCACTCCCTAGATAGACATGTAGATATATTAAACTTGGTGATGTAACACTCATTTTTAATAGCTCTAGAACTCCTTTCATCTTGCTACTTGAACTTAGCTATTATAGATCTGATCATGGCCTAATGTGTGCCAAAGGACTCCACATTGTTGTAGCAGTCTTTTGTTTGCGTCGCTACACCCCAAATCATATCCTTCGTGGAATGAAAAGGCTTCAAGTATTTTGGAACCGAAAGATGGGAAAAAAAAAAAAAAAAAAAAAAAAAAAAAAAAAGCAAATGCGACTAACCGAGTCGAGTAGAGTGTACCAGGCAGACGCAATCCGTTAAAAACATCAGTTATAGATAAAGTACAATTGCAATAAATAGAAGTCTTTTTTTTGTTCATTATAAGAATTATATATAACATGACTGAAACTAGTAATTAGCGAGACCATATGCTTGTGTGCACTTCATGTGGTCGAGTGGTCACTTCCGTCTGTATCATACGGTGAATCGTAGGCAAGTAATCAACATAGGACATTGCATCGTTGTTCTTGTCTTCAACCAACAGATTCGACAGCTCTAACTCGACCTGGTCCATCCCTTGTCGTACAATGGTTAGATCCAGATATTTGGCCCTCTGTCCCTGCATATACATCTGAAGCGTCCGTAACTGATTACTCAACATTGTATCCAATATTGGGAGATGGCGCTACAAAAATAAAAATAAATAAATAAATAAAAAAAGAATATCACATTAGAGGAGGATATAGAAAAAGTAATCATAAAATCATATTCATCTTCATTTTCATATTTTTCTCTTTACCTGCTCAATGCTAAGCTCTTCTAATGTCTGGACTCCAAAGGCATCGTTCAAGAATTGGCTTGAGATTTCACGACCGAGCCACAAATACATCTTTTGGCCATTCTCAAGTAAATAGGCACCTTGCGTTTGAAATCTCGCATAGGACAGTCGCACTAACGGCGGTAAAAACACGCGGCCATTTGTAGGATTTAATACACCAACCTAGTATAATACAATATCGTTGCCAATTAATATAATTAGATCTAAAATCTTTAAAAGGCATAGCATATATTGCTTTTCTTTTTTTTTTTTTTTTTTTTATTTTTTTTTATTATTATTATTATTTTCTTAACCAAAGTGGTGAACTTACCTTTTCGTCCATGGCATGCACTGCAACCATGCGTGGGTAGAAATAAACAATGCTTTCGCTGACACCCATGCTCTTGACCATCCGCATTTGATACACACGCATGTCGCTGTTGAGATCCCGTCCTGCCCTCAAGATCTTGGACTTTAACATAGCAAGGGTATATAACGGGTACAACTTGAACGCCTCTGGAAGAATGAGCTATATAATATAATATTTTGCACCAAAAGTTAATCGATCAAATTAGCTAAAAGCGATAAATGCATGACCCGAGGCTTTTAAAATATTTGTTTATATGTTTAGAGAAAGAGAAAGAGAAAGAGAAAGAGACAAAAATACGAACCTGCCCGGGTGCTGTGGATGAGGCACAGTTGCGGCGATACGCGGACAAAATCTTGACGCATTTTTCTGTCAACGCTTCACGAACTTCACTTAACGTTTTGTTCAGTGCTTGAGTGATGGCTAAAAAAAAAAAAAAAAAAAAAAAAAAAAATTATTTAGTACTGATACAAATCCTTGTCAGCCCAACTCAACCAAAAGAAAAAAAAAAACCCTCTAGTTAAAACTGACTTACCTCCTTTACTCAAAAAGTTGATGGTCGTGTCCATATCTGCCCATCGGAAAACATTGCCCAAAAGCGTGGTCACAGGCGTACTAAAGTTGTGTACTCGTACCCGTCGTCTACCGTCTGCAGTCGTATATAATAATGCCACCTGGAAACTAGCCTCTGTCTTCTCATCCAGTTTTCCATCATGCTTCACTAACACTCCAATGGCCTTCTCAGAATCAATGCCTGCCAATTCCAGATCCGTGCTGTTCTTCATGTGGAAATTTCCAAAGTGCTCTGTAATCCTTAATCCAGTCGAACATCGGACACGCATTAATGCATTGAACCCAAATGGCCTTGTCACTAACCGAGCAATATCTCCTTGCAGTTTGATCCCATCCCTCATCCCATTAAAATTCACAAACATTTGTGTTTCTCCTCCTGTAATACTGGATAGGCTTCCCAAAGTGGCTACATCCACATAAGCATTCGGGAATAAGAACAAGTCAATGGACATGCCTGTTTCCACACAACTTTCCGCCAATCTCCTGTAAAAATCATCCTGTGGTGCATACAATGTCCTCTCTTTGTCCGTTCCATAGAGCTTTGAATCTTCTCGATGACGTAGAACTCCTGGTCCGAACGTTGGAAGAGACGTTTGGAACAAGATCAACTTGCCTCCACGGTTCTCGAGCGCCATCCGCACCCCTTGGACAACTGCACCGATAACAGACTCTGTTGTTTTATTCTCTGCAAAAAGCTGAGGTAGCGTATCCAACAATGACTCTACAATTGTTCTGAAGGATACACATACAGAGAAAAAAAAAAAAGCGATTAAAATAGAATCATAAAATGATGATCTACTTCACAAATAAATAAGAAAAAAAAAAATTAAAAAAAATGCAGTCCTTACTGTGAGCTCTCAGGGCTAACAAGGAACCCATCGCCGAGAGGCACAAACACGTCCGATACATCTGGAACGACCATCATCTGCGCTTGCTCCAAAGAAGGCTATGGAGAACAGTAAAAGCAAAAAAAAAAAAAAAAAAAAAAAAATCTTTTTAGAAGCCGGATCATTACCTCTAAGAGTCTTATAGTCTCCCACAGGAACAAATAATCATAATCGGATTTGATAAGGTCTCAAAAAAAAAAAAAAAAACATACCGAAAGGTTGTAAAAATGCACATTCTTGTCATAGGTCAGGATTCCGATTTGCATACCAGGCATCAGTTTGGAAACCCCATTCGCGTCCCAGATCGCATGTTTGATCCCTTCAACGCACTGCTGTAACATCCCACTCTGGACAGAATTCCAAGAAACATCGATCGCAAAGACATATGCGGCCGCCTGAGGAGGCTTGTTCCAATACTCCTTTGGCACTGCAAATTCAATCGTGCCATTCCTTAATTCCGGTCGTTGGTCCAGATCACATCTCCTACCATTCATATCCAGGTTACAGAAATAACTCGGCTCCACATCGTTCTCGAACAAACACATGTTGCACACAAATTTTTGACCGCCATTTGTAAAAATCATGAACGGATTAATATATGCATTGCATCGTCGACAACGTGCTGGTCCACCATCACCGAAATCAACCGTCTCGATTTGTGCTTCATCTGCACGGAGCTGTGCTAATGGCTGAATCACAAGGCCCATAGGCAATTGTGAAATGCTGAGCAAGTCATCAGTATTGGGGATGTTATACGTTGTCATCCTGAAGAATCGAGGGTTGCAGTTTCCTCCATCGATTGCCATAAAGTCACTACTGGCCAGCGGTGTAGCGTTTGTCCTCACGGAAGTAACAAACGGCTTTTGATCCCATTCAGCTTGATCAGCTTCTTGAACTGCTACTGGAGAAGGGATCTGATCGGGATCGATCCTTGGCTTGGGAACCGGTTGTACAGGTGCAAATGGCGCCTGAGGTCGGAACTGTTGTGACTGATTCGACAATGGCTGGGACGGTGCTACATGGGATGGTGCATGTTGATGGGTTGATTGTGCTGGCTGGTGTTGATGTTGGTGCTGTTGGTGCTGTTGGTGTTGTTGGTGCTGTTGGTGCTGTTGATGCTGCTGGTGATGGTACGATGTATTAAGCTGGTGCTGAGGATGAGTGTATACAGCCTTAGAATATTGATTAACAGCGCCTCCAGTCTGGTTTAGATGCTGTTGAGATGCATATGGGTCGGGGATAGGCTGAGGAGTCGGTGGCAGCATTCCAGTCGCTCCTGGGTTACTGGGAGGAGGTGCGCTTGGATCGGTTGCGAAAACACGCTTGGCACGGGCACCAGCCTTGGGCTTTGTCTATATGGAGTTTGAATATATAAATATTTGTTCTACTTCCTTAAATTTTTTTTTTCCTTCAATGATAATGTCTTCGGAGTCCCACAAATGGCAATAGCAAGAATTACCTCTGGTTGTACAGACTGCGTAGTTGATGGAGGTCCTAGTGGTGGTAGTGGTGTCTGTGCGTGGCTTTGACGTTGATTCAGATTGCTATTTCCTGCGAGTGACATGTTGGACATTTGGTTGTAAAGAGTATTCGCATTCCCAGTCACTGCTGTAGTAGCAGCGATAGCTCCATGTTGATCTACAGGTGGTGTGGGTTGTTGCTGCTGCTGCTGGGATGCCTGATGTTGGCTTTGATGTGAGCTTGGATGTTGCTGGTATGGTGCATTCTGAGAGGCTGGTGGAGGAGGACCATGATTTTGAGGGAAGCCCTGCATGGCGGGTGGTCGGGGTGGAGACTGAAGCTGAGATTGTGTGGCAGTGCTTGGTGTGCTTATTGGGGTAGGGGTCTGTTCAGATGCAGAGTTGATCTGCTGCTGAGGACGGGGGCCGCCTGCAGTAGCCATGTCTGCAGTGGCCATGCCTGCCTGTCCATGTCCTTGTACTGGCGAGCTCGGCCTGATCTGTTGCTGATTCATTGGCCGAATCCCAGGTGGTCTTGCCCCTAGAGCTCCTTGATTAGACAGAGGGCGAGCACCAGGGTATTGTTGCTGTTGTTGTGGGGGCCCATTGACAAGCTGTTGTCCTTGCTGCCCCTGTCCTATTCATCCGCATATAATGTAACAAGCCCAGTGTATCAGTTTTGAAAGATCAGCAAAAAAAAATAAATAAATAAGAGATCCTTGCCATGGCGCATGCTGGGAAATGCTACAAAACAAACAAAAGAGAAAAGACGAATGGCATCGCTCCATTGATTCATAGATACAGTGATATTGGGCTATCAATAACAGTGGAATAAAAAGATCACTCTTATTTACCTGAAACCATGGGTCGCACGCCTCCACCAGAACTAGGTCTGATTGCTTGGTAAGGTGGGGCAGGTCCTCCAGGTGGCCTATTGACATTTTGAGTAGGCCCTGGCGCCTTCAATGGCTGTTGCTGCTGTTGTTGCTGATATTGTTGGCCACCATTGGGAGGAAATGGTCGTATTGGGGTAAATTGACCTTGTTGACCTTGCTGAACTTGTTGACCTTGTCCTGGACCATAACCTCCAGGACTGTAAGGTCGAGGTTGCTGTTGAAAGTTTTGAGGAGGATAATTGGACATTTGTCAAGCAACTGCAATCACTGCAATTAATGTTCAGCTGAATCTAGACGAACAAGCAGACAGACAGATTGATTTATTGATTTCAAATATTAGACACGTCATTTACATTTGCCATACAAAATGATGCCATGTACATGCGCGTCATTCATGGATGTAAGGCTTTTTCACTTGCCTATTGGTCGTTATTGATTTGAGAGAAAAGACAATGCTGGTAATGAAGTGAAGATTGCGTTAAGGTTAAGAATGACAAAAAGTTGGTTTGTGAGCATCATTCACACTTGACAACGCGTTTGCCCTTTGTCCCACAGACCTTTGCTCGCTCGTCCCGTGTGACAAGTTAGGGAGGGAAATCGATCGTCCTGATTGGTCGAGGCAAAATAAGCATCTATCTAGTCTCTATGCAAAATTTGTATCAGAGAAACTGCTCGGAGCTGACGATCCATGTCAAAATTCAAGCGTCCACATTCTGGTAGATAAGCAAGTCGTTCCGTGGTAATGCAACAATCGAACTGCGTTCTGCCGCAAATAGCCAAATATGCGTATATACTTTTCTTATAATTGCTCATTGGATTGGTACTGTAAATCTGCCCGAAGGCGACAGATCCTCCAGGCCCATGGTTATGGAGAGCAAGACAAGGGGCAGCTAATGGAGCTACATCAACTCTTTGGGCACCATCACTCTATGGCCAGTACACTCACGAACACCAAAGAAGAATTTCATTCTGTTATTATGCAATACCAGACAGTGTAGTGGTGCTCGAAAGTCATCTCTTGGTTAGTCTTGATCATGGCTGAGAGTGATATGGATTTGAAGCTCTATTCCTAGTCTTTTTACTGACCTCATGAAGCCTTAAAGTAGGGAGGACATGTCTGCAGTACCATATAAACACGGCTTTCCCACGTTTAAGGAAAATTGCTTCGAGATTCTTCATTCGGTATCGACTATTTGATGAGGTTTACGTTATATTCGTGTACTTCCATTTCCATCACTCAGTCTGCTTTGCACAGCTTTGAGGCCAAGTGAATACCCTAATTACATCTGTTGCCTAGATTATGACCCTGCCGTCCTCTTCTAGACGAAGTGGTCTGTTGACTATTGATTGAAGCCCCTACGATTCCAACTGAACTAATCTGACCATGTATATAATCCTAGACACAAAGTGTAACAAAGTGGCTTTTAAACTAGGTTGGTCCAAATGTTATACATGTATAATATGCAAACAAGAGGAGGAAACAATTCTCCAGAATTTAAATTGCACGTCCAACTTGACAACCACCACCAAATATTACATCAATCGAAAGCGTCCCAAATTTTGAGATTTTAGAGCCAATCTGGAGCACGTACGACTAATATAACGAACAAAAGAACGATCGTACGTAGAGTGTTCGAAAAAGAGTGGATCCTTAAAATGCAAATTTCGACATTTTTTTCCATTTCTCATTGCCATCTCATTCATATCCAAAGCAGTTCCACTTGCACATTCATCTGAATCTCTTCCTCCGTCAGTAGTATTCTTGGCTCATTTAGTATTTTCATTGCCTGTAATGTTTAATGCGCCATTGAAGTTGGCCTTCCTAATTTATTAGACTGAACAAGATACTAATCTCCCCCTTAAACATAAATTTGACCACTGGTCTGCCATAGCATCTTCTCTTCGCTTGTTCTCCGATTTTGGTAAACCCATCTTGATAAGCATGCTGAGTCTCAATATTTGTTTTCTGCATCGAAGGAATGTTGGATGGGCACTCCCGATCGAGGAGACAAAATATTTCCAGTAGGCCGTCAATACAGAATTGATCGCAGGATGAAATTATGATGGTATGTCGAGTTGCGTAGTAGGCTTCGATGCTGGGATGACCCGGTGAAAGTGCTGATACCTGAAATTTTAATTCAAGCACCTAGTCCTCGGTTCCTCAGTTTGATGATGGTTGAGTTAGAACACTTGTGGTATAACTCCACTCGAGATGGATAATGCACAAAAAACACACACAGACAATTCACGACTGAAATGTTTTATGGTAAATCGGAAGTCAAGGAGATCAAAAGTTGTTTATTATTTTAGCTAGGTCGGAGCCTTATATAGGCTCCAACATAGCCGTCACTAATTGCTCTGATCTATGAATAAAAAGGGGAGTGCTCCATTTGGGTACACTCCCTAGCCTCAGGACGTAACAACGACACGAAGTGGTGAAGAAGTAACGTACCTTAGCTTCAATAAATAGATGCATTCTACTGAAAAGTATATGGACCCAGCCATCGTTGAGAAGTAACAAAAAGTAGATCCAAGTTACTCTCGCCTTGTAAAAAAAGGAGATAAAAACGATAAAAAAGGTAATGAAAACAAGACATAAAGTGGTAATGTCTCCCCAGCCTCAGTAGAAACGCATTCTACCAAAGGTAATGTGGGCCCAGTCACTTAGAGGAATAGCAAAAGGTAGGTTCAGGCCAGTCTCGTCTGTATGCGAAACATGGATTTGAGTATAAAAGAATACAATTACTTCTAACCTCGATTTACTTCAATAATCTTGTAATGGAACAAATAGTAAGAATTAGAAATGTCCCAGCACAATCTTGACCCCATGACGTAATTAAGGCGAAAAATTTGATTCCCCATTCCCTCTCTACAATGCACAAGACTCCCTCCATCACTCTGAGCCTCAAGAATGCTTCAGTTTTTCAATTTCGTTCAGGAGGATAAGCATAATCACAGCAACTTCGACGAGACTTTGTTGTGTTTTTTTAATCACGTCAAGACTCTCAATTCACAGCACGATGCAACGGCAAAAGAGTTTAAATGGCATAAAGAAGATAGGGGTGAATTTGAAACTTTATAACCAAGCACTGACCAAGCACTGCCGCGACAAAGGCAACTCTACTTGTGACTGGGATAGAGCGTAAAGCAGATGGTAAGGAGCTTACGAAGTAGTAATATATATTATCGTTAATACACTTCAGAGTATGGTGACCTTTTCTGAGTATGATAATCTTTAACACCCCTCATTTTCTTTGCAGAGGCGAATATGATGATTACTGGATCTCTATTATCAACAACAGGTACTGAGCAGTTTCCATTAACTCATACAGCATCTATAACATCTCTTGGCTCCCCATCTTTGGTACGTGCTGCTACAATGCTAAACGTTATTTTTGACTAATGTGCTGCTTGTTATTAGTATTAGTATTATTAAGCATTCGCTTGTACAGGGAAATGTGGATGATGTCAATGATATAGAAGCTATCGAAATACAGAGAATCCCACAATTGGGGAGATCTAAGTCATATGAAAAGCAACTGGAGGTCGAGTCAATCAATAAGTTTTACGACAATACGGCTACAGATGGTTAGTTTTGTTGATTAAAGCTTTATGGCAAGCGATAGAAATATTTAGAGTATCGAACTGATCCTTTTTTGAATCTAGTCCACATTAGGTTTCTCAATCAAGCATCTGAATGGGTATTGAATGAAAAGGGTGTACTTGCTATGTTCAACGATTTCAAGCGGTCTTAAGAAACAAACACATATTCACTTTCGCGTGATGGAATTGCTGATTTAACCTCACGTAGTGATTTTATCGACACATTGGTTGATGATATTTTTAACCAAATTGTTAGTGAAGGCCTAAATATTGAACAAGATGACGTTCATCAGGGACACTATCTATCTTATTCCGAAGTCCACAGGCAAGCTTCCAAAATATCGCCAATTTTATTTGGTCACGATACCTTATATTTTTAATCTAAAAACGATGATTGAATTGTTCTGGTGGCATCTCACTACGTGACGGACTTGCAACAATACTCGTAACAAGCGAGCTAATTGGCTGCCAATACACTCGAAAGTATTCAAAAAATATAAGGTATCGCGACCAAATGAAACGGGCTATACATTAGAGGAAGTAGTTAAGATATTCAGGAGTAATCGTGTTACAAGGTCGATTACAGCAGTCTTGGGGAATTTGTAAGTAGTATATTATCATATTAACCTATCCTCCCTCGCAAATATTTTATTAATAGCATATTTATTTCATACTTTATAGTGCAATGTTTTTTCCCCACCACGGTATAATGCCAAAAATGAATGAACGACAGTTTTTCTCTGAGATTGTGATACCATCGTTCGCCATGCATTTCGACTGGTTGGAAAAGATATGGAGCTCTTTGAAATTAAAATACTAGGGTGTCAGAGAAGGAAGAATCTTCATAGGATCCCTATGCAAGAAAAGGCTGTACATGCCCACCAAGTAGATGCAACCGTGTCACACGATGGTCTACAGGTAGTATTGTTTGAGTGTTCACCGCCTGATGCTAAGGATGCTGACAAGGCATTCTCAGATCATTTCAAGCTGACCCGTGATCTTAAGGACACATGGATTTATAACGTTGAGGCTATGATACAGAACGGTCGCGAACCTACAAGAGGCCTAACAGTGTATGGAGTTCATATTGCAAGGAATAGGTTAGAGCTCTATGCTTTGGATTTTATGGGTTGCTTTCGACTCCACGAATGCACCACAATTACTCTCCCCACAAGGCTAAGTACGTTCCAAACCTGCTTTCAGGAACTGGTTCAAAAATCTTTTTGGTTTGCGAAGCAAGTTAAGGCTGAGTTGGACAAATGGACTCTGCACAAACTCTAGAATAGTCAAACAAAAGGAAAGCAGAGAGAACCCTTAAGCTGCTTCCAAAAACAAATACAACTCCAACAAAGGGAAAAAAAGTTAAAGTGTATCAAGATGAGGACGATCAACTTTAGAGCTATCTGGGTGAGAAAAAAAAATCCCAAAGTACTAAAGCATCTCAAGACGAGGATGATATACTGTTCTCACTGCAGAATTGACACCTGTCCGCATCATATGTAATCCTGTTCAATAGTTTTCCCTGTAGTCAGAATAATATGTTTAGTCTTTTTAAATTGAAGGTGACATAAATGAAGAAATGCCTTGTATTCAATAGGGGACTATTTCTTTCTTGGCATTGCATTCTTGAACCCTATAATCAGACATTCATTACTAGGGAAGTTGGTTTAATAAAGATAATTTTTATTGTGAAGGAAGTTGCATTGTTGGAGGATGAAACTAAAGAAAAAGAGAAAAAGCTCATTCAGAGCAGCGATTTTAAGAATCTCTGAAATTCCCACGGAGCACCGGTTAAATCGGTTAATGGTGGTCAAATTAGCCGGTTAAAATCGCTCGACACAACAAACAAGTACATGTACTTGCATAAATGAATGTTAGGCTAGTGATTCAAATCCGGCCCTGACATGAGACAACGGATGGGGGCTGTCAAGATTGTGTCATGGCTGGATATATCTACAAAGGGTAATAAATGGGCAGATGCCCTCTTCAATACTCAATTGAAATTAAAACACTTAGTGATTATTACATCATCATGGTGTTCCCTTTTCTACTCATAGTAGAAAAAGAAAATATATAAAGCTATCCTTCTCCCAATCTTTTTTTTTTTTTTTTTTTTTTCACCCTCATCTTTTTTTTATATTTTTACAATTATCTCCATCTTTATCACCAAATTACCATGCTGCACAAACATATCGACTCGGATGAAGCGCTCAAGCTTGCCAAGAAATCTATTCACACACACATTGGCAAAGCCAGAGATCTGCATAGTTTGGCCTATGGCTCGCGATATGCTACCGAAGACATCCCAAGGTTCAAGCTTCCAGAGCATATGACCGATGCAAAGGCTACTTATCAACTTATTCATGATGAGCTTGATTTAGATGGCAGACCCAATACGAACCTAGCATCCTTTGGTATTAACTTTTTTTTTTTTTTTTTTTTTTTGATAATATATGAAGAGAAAACGCGCCTTGTTAGTTCCAATGTATTAACAGCCCTTGTCTCCTTGCTACTAGTCACCACTTGGATGGAGCCAGAGGCAAACCAGCTTGTGGTGGAAAACATCAACAAAAACCTCTCTGATCAGGTTTGTCAAAAAAAAAAAAAAAAAAAAAAATATTTGATATATTTATTGATTGTAAGAATTAACACATTACTTACGTATCTTATTAAAAAAAAAAAAAAAAAATGTAGGATGAATATCCCGCTACTATGAAGATCCATGCCAGATGCATTTCCATCCTTGGTGATTTGTGGAAGAGCAAAGGAGCCGTTGGCACTTCGACCATCGGCTCTTCAGAAGGTGTTCAGCTTGGAGGCCTAGCCATGAAGAAAAGATGGCAAGCCAAACGAAAAGCCGAAGGCAAAGATACCTCGAGGCCCAACATTGTGATGGGAAATAATGCTCAAGTAGCCCTAGAGAAATTCGCCCGTTATTTTGATGTCGAATGTCGCATGATTCCTGTCACTGCCGAGAGCCATTATTGTCTGGACATCAAGAAGGCAGCGGAGGCTTGTGACGAGAACACAATTGGTGTCTATGTTATCCTCGGAAGTACTTACACAGGCCACTTTGAGGATGTGGAGGGTATGGCTAATGAACTGGATAGGATCCAAGAAGAGAAAGGATGGGATATCCCTATCCATGTCGACGGAGCCAGTGGTGCCTTCGTAGCCCCACTTGCATTCCCAAAAGTTAAATGGAGTTTTGAGTTGCCTCGTGTCAAATCCATCAACGTTTCGGGCCATAAGTACGGCCTTGCGTATCCTGGTATCGGATGGGTCCTCTGGAGGGATGAAGAATATTTACCTCAGGAGCTTATATTTACCCTCACATATTTGGGGGCTGAGGAGAAGACATTTACTCTCAACTTCTCGCGTCCGGCTTGTTTCATGGTATGTGATTATTTTAATTTTACTACTCTTTCTTTCTTTTTAAAACAAAAAGGTCTTATTAATGCTTAAATCGCAACCTATCTTTTTTTTTTTTTTTTTTTTGGTCTTATAGATTGCCCAATACTATAACTTTGTTCGCCTCGGAAGAGAGGGCTATTCATCCATCATCCGTAACAGCCTTGAAAACGCAAGGACCCTGTCTTTTGCGTTGGAGTATTCTGGTTATTATGATGTTATTTCGGATATGCACCGTGCCAAAGGCGTCCATGGGTATGAGCGTAAGACCGGTATCGAGGCAGTCAAGGAGTCACTCAAGAATATGACTGACTATAATCCAGCTCTACCCGTCGTGGCCTTTAAGCTCACAGACGAGTTCAAGCGCAAAAACCCTCGTGTCAAACAAAAATCAATCTCGACGCTGTTGCGTGCTCGTGGCTGGATTATCCCCAACTATGCTCTCCCACCTAATGAGGATAAAACTGAGATCCTTCGTATTGTTGTCCGTGAGTCTCTCAGCCAGGATTTGGTAGACAGTGTTACACGCGATCTGGTCTGGGCAGCCAAGACACTTGAAGAAAGTGAGAGTAGCTTTGATGCAGAGGTCTTTTCCAAGAACTACGACCCTGTTAGTGAAGCGCATAAAATGCAAAAAGGTGGAGAGGATGAGAATAAGACTCATGGAAGGCAATGTTAGGGTATGAAAGCAGGTAATGATTAAATACGTATGCTCATTCATGTTGTAATTAGAAGCGACTTGGTTCACAGCCTATGTACGTGTAAATAATGTCCCCTTTCTTATCCTCATGAATAGATCGAGGAAACAAATAAAAAGAAACAGCTCGATTATTGTGCTGGCTCATTGCTCCTTTGCACTCATTGGATTCATCAGACGCGATAGATTTATTACAGTCCGAACAACAGTGTCCATTATAAATAAAAAATGAAATGTACTTCTTTATGTTCGTCAGCCCTCCGTATTTTCAGTCTTACTTCTCTATAAAGCGTAGAAATAGCACACATCTGTTTTTGCTTGGTCATAGCAGGGAGGTATCGGTCGATGGAGCAAATGCTCTTGAGGAAGAGAACAGATCCAACTTTATCATAGGCGTTTTTGAGCTTCTCCTCTCCAATAATCGGCCTCTGCTTGAAGTCGAGCCAAGCACGGGTTCATCCTTATCTTCAACTTAATAAATATCATTCTGAGGTACATGTCTTCCCGAAGGAATAGCATACAAGGATATTCAACCATACCAGCACGTACAAATCGGAAAAAAGATCAAGACAAGGGCTGCAGATACAATTTTACCCATGTTGGAGACATTCTTTGTGTACTTACAATAACGCAGCATGCTGTTACACAGTGTCCTCTTTCATTTTGAGAAAACAGGAAATCTGCATAACATTTGTAAACATGTCTTTGATTCCGCTCTTCTGCATATCTGCTCGTATAGCATTAACAGCTTGGGATTGCTGCATTATAGAAGTGTCATGGAGATTCAGTGACACAACAATTGTACTGGAAACAATGATCTAATTGTCATACCTCTATGTTTGTTGAGCTGCTCAATCATCTCATATATATTATTCCGTAAGGAATTAAAAGTAAAGGCAAGTGATTCGAGCGATAAACGTAATCCTTGTTGGTTTGCCTCTAATTCTTTGATTAGCATCCAACAATCCTCTTTATCAGCCAATGTTAGTATATACATCTACAGTATATTATAATAATAAATGTGTTCGGTTCGGTTAGTATAAGAGACCAACTTAATTAAACAATGAGCGTAAACCAGATTTGGCTATAACACATGTCGAGGCTATGGCACGCTGGCTTCTATCCTTGCCACCTTCTAGGCTTCTCTAGTTGCTCATGCCTGTAATCAACGCGTATCCTCCATAATGCTTTTATTTGGTTTTATGCGGCCTCCGGAAACATGGCCTTTACTTGCTTTATTTGTGCCAAAGCATTGTCTGTTGATGGAAGTAAAAGATACACATCTATGAAGAAATCTGTCTGACCCATACCATTCTAACGGAAAAACAATAAGAGCTGTAGCAGGAATAGGGATGCAAATTGATGGGAGGATGAGGACGAGGCGAGAGTGAGCAGGGCGAGGGCAAAGAAATGGTTTAGTTGTAAATAATAACAGTAATGAGACTGTGCTATTGGTTGAATACGAAAATTTCCCTTGCTTGTCACGACTTTAAGGTTTGGGCTGTTGCATGTTTAAATGTGTCTTCGGGCCCTCGAACATATTTTGGTCTTTATTCTTCTGATAGGACGAATGCTTTGCAGATTATCTGATTTCATTTTAATGGAACGGTGGAATGGTAATACACACAAAATATAGAATTTACACAAAAGACGACTGTACACAGTAAGATTTATACCGTGCAACATTGGTCTTACTATTCTACATGACCGGTGTGAGCATATTTAGTCCTGTACTCTGTACGCAATACTTTCGGAAGATATGACTTTCAGAATGATTAGAATTAGGTTCAAGTCAAGTGAAGGTCATTTTGTTTGTCTTTCAAGCATGTAAAAGGCATCCGCCATCATTGAGCATACTTTAACCACATGTACAAAATGTGTCTACGATATGACGATATAATAATCATAATAGCAATAATAGCAGTAAACAAGAAAAGTATTGAATATTCTCCAAAGTATGTCTATCCGTACCGCAAGCCATTGCTCTAGAAGTGGGTTTGGTTAATGGTTGCAGTTTACCGCTTCTATTTATTATATCATTTCTATATATCTATCCTTGCTTGGCAAGCTGTCTTCTATAAACGAGTAGGGAATAGCTTGAAGGAGCTTTCTAGCAGTTGTGGTAGGTGGCACGGACAGAGCTGAGGTGGTCATTGTTGGTACCGCTCTCGCTTGGGAGGATACCCTTGAAGAGACGGACGGATCCAACTCTGCCACCGACGTTGTTGAGCTTGCCCCACTTGTTGATCTGGCCTTGCTTGGTGGTGAAGCCAGCACGAGTCCATCTGCCACCGCAGTTGCCAGTCTCGTAGAAGGTCAAGGTAATGCCAGAAGCATAGGGGTCCTCGTGGTGGTACTCGGCAGACTTGGCGCCATAGAGGTCGGTGACGCTGTAGCACTGGTCGTACTTGGTGATCTCGGTGTACTTGCAGGTGCCGGAGAAGTTCTCACCAGAGTAGAGGTAGACCTTGCTGTTGGCAGCTTCGATGGTGGCAGCAAGAGCCAAAGCAGCAGTGGTGGCGAGGATAGAGAACTTCATGATGTTTAAGTTGTTGTTGTTTTTTTTTTGAGAGTGAGAATTGGAGCTGAGATCAGTATCGTTCAAAAGGGGATTCATCTTCCTTTATATACCTTTTTTTTCCCTTCATATAGAGGATAAATGTCAATGGTCCACATGAATGCATTTAGTGACTGGATGGTGGTTTGAACGCCCTACGCCTTTATTTGGAGCATCTTTGGATGTATTATGCTAAATGATGTATTCCTTTTAGTAAGGTTTCCTCGTTCACCATCCTCACTTGCCCTCCTCTAATGGTACAAAAGTCGAGCCAAAACTTTAAGGCTTTCTTTGGGAATGACTAGAACCCTCCTCCAGCACAACAGCCTTCATGTACGCACTGCACCGGGAAAAAAAAGTTAAATGAGTGATATATATATCCATATAAAGCCATACATTTATAAACGTGGAATATAGACATATAGTCGCTCGATAGAGAAGTGAGGCTGGTGATACAGACGATAATGAACAAGAGCATGTTAAAAAAGAATACAATTATATTCTTCATTATTGAAACACTGTGTTGTACAAGGTCTAACAGTTCCAACGTGTCTGTTACAGGTACACAATAGGAGAGAGCTATAACTGGGTCTCTCTATTTGTTTCTCCGATCTCTTGAAAGAAAAGACAATAGCAACATCGAGTTCCAGACGAGATGTCTAGATCAATTGTGTCTCTACCCCACTATCGCATATTCAGGCTGACTAATGAAGAATAAGCAGTGCTCTTGCAACACGAGTGTCTTGGCTCCTCAGGCCATGTCGCGTACAATATATATCATCCACCCAGCCATCACTGAAAAGCCTGTACAATAAGAAGAATCGAAGAATCTCAGTTTCTTCCCGATTGGATGAATGTCGTTGAGAACACTTAGAACATTGAGAATATTGAGGCCGAGCAAGATGACACAAGGTGAGGGCGAGGGCAAGGAGGGAAAAGAGAGAGGAGAGTATAGAAGTGCTCTCAATACGCTTGATAATTCTCATGTCGCAAAGAATCTTTTCTGAACACAGAGTTCAATATGCTTTAACAACGTGCTTTAATAGCATGCTTTTTCTCTACATCCCTTTAGTAACGGCTTAGAAGACACTCACTCGCTTACGTTGTCGGTGAATGGGCCACAAACGAGAGGAAGAGCGACTGTAGTATGGGGAAATGAAGCGAAAAGTTGTTCTTGTCTGGGTTGTATCCCAGTGAATCCTAATGGAGACAGCCGTGTACAGTACATGCATACGCACGTCGACAGTGCCTCTCTATGTTTACTTGCACTCGATTTACACAATCCTCTGTATGTCGGTAAGTGTGCACTGCTAGCACTATCACTTAACACGTACTATCAGCTACAGCAAGCGTAGCAAGGTGTAAAGGCTCGTAGGTTTCCACAAGGACCCTTTTCATAGCAAAGAGTGAAAAGACCGATTGGCGTTTATTTCAATTGAGTCTAGAACAAGTGCAAGTGTATCTCAAAATAATAGAAAGAGGGATAACCATTAGTTAGTGGAATGTAATCACTCTCTATATTACACAAATAAGACACTTTTCTCTTTAATACTGTTGCACATGATATTTTACAAGTATGTGTTTTCTGTGGGGAGCCTAGATTGTGGGCTTTTGTCTGGTAACGGTCAAGAGACGGAATGGCCAAGAGGGCGAGGGAGGGGAAAATCCTTTTCCTGTTTCTAAATAGATCCAGATTTGCACTAATTGTGTCGACAGCTCGATCAGACAAAGTAGACAGACAGACAAGGGGGTAAATGAGGAGAACCTAATACATATACCACGCTACTACATAAGAAGAGAACACTGCTTGCAATTAGTGCTTGGCTTGCGCACAATCCTTTTCTGTTATTTATTTTTTTTTTTTTAGACAGGGTCCGGGCAAACACAGTCATTAAATTATTTAAATTTTACATCTCATGCACAATGTAGGCTGTTGCCTTACAGGCGGGAAATCCCTCAGCCCCAGGGATGGCCTTGAGGCCTTGGACAAACCGCTGTACATGCTGCTGTAGAAGGACAATGGAGGAAAGTGAACAGGAACATCTATCTCCGAATAAAAGGGAAAAAAAAGGTATATAAAGGAAGATTGAATCCTCCCTTTGAGCGATACTGATCTCAGCTCCAATTCTCACTCTCAAAAAACAACAACAACCCAAACACCATGAAGTTCTCTATCCTCGCCACCACTGCTGCTTTGGCTCTTGCTGCCACCATCGAAGCTGCCAACAGCAAGGTCTACCTCTACTCTGGTGAGAACTTCTCCGGCACCTGCAAGTACACCGAGATCACCAAGTACGACCAGTGCTACAGCGTCACCGACCTCTATGGCGCCAAGTCTGCCGAGTACCACCACGAGGACCCCTATGCTTCTGGCATTACCTTGACCTTCTACGAGACTGGCAACTGCGGTGGCAGATGGACTCGTGCTGGCTTCACCACCAAGCAAGGCCAGATCAACAAGTGGGGCAAGCTCAACAACGTCGGTGGCAGAGTTGGATCCGTCCGTCTCTTCAAGGGTATCCTCCCAAGCGAGAGCGGTACCAACAATGACCACCTCAGCTCTGTCCGTGCCACCTACCACAACTGCTAGAAAGCTCCTTCAAGCTATTCTCTACTCGTTTATAGAAGACAACTTGCCAAGCAAGGATAGATATATA